GTTGTTTCTGAAATGCTGGGAATCAAGCCCATGCTTCATACATGCTATGCAAGCTCTCTACCACTGAACTGATCCACACCTGCAGAACCAGTTTGTTTTAGATAGGGTCTCTCTCATTATATAGGAGGGAATAGTCTCAAATGCCCCAACCTCCCAATGTCATAGGATTATAAGCAGGCAACATCCAACTGGTATTTCTCTTTTCTTTCCTTCCTGCTTCCCTCATTCCGTTTTTTAGCTGCAATTCACCATGTAGATCAGGCTGGCCTAGAGATTCAAGAGATTCACCTACTTTTGCTTCCTGCATGCTTTGGCTGGCATCTCAGTAGAGCCAGGGGCATCTTATGTATATCTTGAATACTGCTCCTCCCAAGAAAGCTACACAAAGCTGCTGGCATAGGTCACATAAACTGACAGATTGCTGTAGCATATGGGCAATATTCATCTATACTGAGCCTTGCCAGTTAAATGTGTTATTAGCTTTCTCTATTCAGAATTCAGAAAGGGTTTTTATGATTTTTGGGGGTGCTGTCAGGCCTGAGTTGTGTTTCCTAGTTTGTGCATCCCTGAGGCTTCTGCTGTTGGTAGCTCCTGCTGCCATTTCCAGGCCAGTCACTACTCTTATATTGCCATTCTTATTCTGAACTTCAGTGTCTAAATTCAAGGGTTCTAGAGCTGATAGCTCAAATGTATTTCAGAGTGAACAGGCTGAGGGCAACATGGTTTGGTCAGCCATCAGATTGGTAGAATACTTGAAGTGGTTCCTACAAGGTAAGCCAGGAGCAACAGGACTTCCCAAGGCTACTTTTTGGGATCTGATGAGGGTAGTAGTGACCAGAGACATGGGTGTGATGGGGAGGTGACTGGAGCAGGAGTCAAGAGTATCTCACATGTTGGCATGTTTGCAGCCTCCTCCAAAACTGCCCAGTGGAGTATTCAGTCTGGAGTTTCAGGATTTTGTGAATAAATGGTAAGTTTGCACAGTGTTTCTGACACCCCTGGCTTTACCTTTTCCCCTCTACATCAACCCTGGCTGTGCTATACCCCTTGTGGTGCTGGGACTCATGGCTATCTGATCCTGGGTACTACTCTTACTTTGCCTGCAAGGGTCATCCTTTTGCTTTCTGACCTTGATTTATGTGCTTAGGCATGATGGTGTGCCTAGAATGGAGGATGAGCAAGGCTCAGGCTCCTGCTCTTCAGCCTTCAGTGAAGGGGTAGTGGCCATGCAGACATAAGCAGCATGCCTGAGATCCAGTGCTCTCTCATTAGTCGTTCTTCTTTTCAGCTTAATAAAGAACCCTGCAGAGAGAGCGGATCTAAAGCAGCTCCTGGTGAGTATCACATGAGCCTGTGTATCCATCTGAGCCCCTTTCATCCCTGCCTCACCCTTTGATCTTCAGTCAGGCTTGGGGTTGCACAGTGCCAGAAATCAGCCTCCTCAGTCCTCCTATAGTTACTTTGTGGGAGAAGGTGCTACTGAGAGGCTGGGATGCAATTCAGAGTGGGGCCAGCCCATAACCTTCCTGAGCTCAGGCCTTTTTCTAGTTCTGCCTAGGTCACCTCACATTCCCTGAGTTACTCTCCATGTAGTTCTTATGTGATGGCACTGGCACAGAACGGTGACACTTTAAGATTCAGACTCCATGGCCTGTGCAGCCTTGAGTGTAGTGTACCTTCCAACAACCTAGAGTTGCTTAGGGAGACAAGGTTGCCCCAGCTTATATGTGTGGCGGAGGGTCTCTAGGCTGCAGCTAGCTAACCTACTTGTTGCTCAAGGGCCAATGCTAGAAGCTTCTTTCAAGTGGTACCCAGACCAAGACTCTCGCTGCTTTCCTTTCCTGATAGTTTTTTTTTTTTTAACAGCAATTTCTTTCCCTGTTTTTTTTGCACATAGGTTCATGCTTTCATCAAGAGATCTGATGCTGAGGAGGTAGACTTCGCAGGTTGGCTCTGCTCCACCATTGGGCTTAACCAGCCCAGCACACCAACCCATGCCGCTAGCATCTGAGCCTTTGGGAAGCAGCAAAGAGGAAATCCTCTGCCCAGTGGCATGCCATGTTGCTTTCAGGCCTCTCCCATGCTTGTCTCTGTTCAGACGTGCATCTCATCTGTGACAAAAGGATGAAGAACACAGCATGTGCCAAATTGTACTTGTGTCGTTTTTTAATATCACTGTCTTTATCACTATGGTTACTCCCCTAAGTGGATTGGCTTTGTGCTTGGGGCTATTTGTATGTTGATCAAACACATGCCAGGCTGAACTATAGTGAAACCCTGGTGACCTGGGTGGTCATTCTTACTGATGTTTGCACTGCTGATCATGTTCCGTGATTCACTGGCTGGCTGCCTCTATTGTCAGGATTCTCGGGCCCTTGGTACTTCACTCTTGCTGGTGACCTCTCTGTCTGAGGAGAGGGAGCCTGGTGAGACCCTTCACAGGCAGTGCATGGGAAGCATGCTTTGCTGCTACTGAAATGAGCATCAGGTTGTGTACATTTATTTTTATTTTTTGCTTTTGGTATAGAACTCAGCAATTTCCCCACCACCACCACCACCACCCCAAAAAAAAATCTAACCAGAGCCCATCACTGCCATGATAGCTGGGGCTTCAGTCTGTCTACTGTGGTGATTTTTAGACTTCTGGTTGTATTTCTATATTTATTTTTAAATATACTGTGTGGGGTACTTAGTGTGGTGTATGTCTCTTAAGTTTGGATTAGTGTTTCTAAATAGGTGGAGTTATTTTGAACGTCACAAATGGATTATGACATCAATATGTATCAGAGTTCTATCTTTCCTTCAATCCAAGCACCAATGCTATTGTAAACAACGTGTATAGTGCCTACAAATTGTATGAGACCCTTTAACAATTTTAATCCAGATGTTTATCAAATCTAATCTCTTATTCTAATAAAAATACTATCAAGTTAAAATAAAAAGGACAAAAGATATTTCTACTTTTGTGGCAGGCCTTTCAATTTCTCTACACTATAGGAAATGAAGTGATTTAGCCATGCCCTGAGGTAGGGGAAATGAAGACAGGAATGCAGCTGGAAGGCATAAATACTACATATGAGAGTTTCTGTTCCTCATGTGAACACCCTGACTGAAAGCTACTTACAGCTTGTAGTCAGTCCATCGTCCAGGAAGCTCAGTGAAGGAGCCTGGAGGCAGAAACTGAAGCAGAGGCCATGGAGGAACCCTGCTTACTGGCTTGCTCTACATACTTGTTAAGCTTTTTGTATAGCACCCAGCAACACAAGTACAGGGGTGACACAGCCCACAGTGAGCTGGGTCCTACTTTATCAGTCATCATTCAATAAAATGCACAAGCTTGCCCACAGGCCAATCTGATGGGGGCATTTTCTCTATTGAGGCTCCTTCCAAAATGTCTCTAGTTTGTTTTGAGTTTACATGCAAACTAGGCAACACAGGGGCGTGGTAGCACATGTGTCTTTAATTCCAGTTCTTGGGGGAGAGGGGGGGAAAGGCAGATGGCTTGGTTTATATATTATAGTGAGTTCCAGGATAGCCAGGGCTATGTAGAGAGACCTTGTCTCAGAAAAAGAAACATGCCCCCACCACCCAAATACACACACACACACACACACACACACACACACACGTCAGCTCTGTACAGTGGTGGGTTAATGGGTCTCCTGCACTTCAGTCTTTGGACCACCAACTATACTCATGCAGAACAGTGACTACCACCTTTCCAGGATCTGTGAATAAGTAGTCTCTTTATGGTAGGTGGGTGTCATAGAGTTTGTATTGTGATAAAACACCCTGACCAAAAGCAAATTTAGGAGGAAAGGGTTTACATGGCTTACATATCCTGAATCATAGTCCACTGAAGTAAACCAAGGTAGATCTTTCAAACTAGGTAGGAGCCTGGAAGCTGATTTAGAGGCAGTGAAATAATGCTGCCTACTGGCTTGTTCAGACTTCTTAATTAAAACACTCAGGACCATCAGCCCAGGGGCTGGGCCTTCCCACATCAACCACTAAGAAAATACTCTACAGGCTTGCAGAGGCATTTTCTCAATCAAGGTTTCCTCCTCTCAGATGACTATAACTTGTGTCAAGCTGACAAAAACCTTGCTCAGCAAAATCATAAGCTGTGATTTTTTTTTTTCCCCCCTCACAGACCATTCCTTATTTTCTGTAGCAGGGCCTGCCTGCAGTTCCAGTAGCCATGCTCACAGGAGAGGAGAGCCTTTAGGTCTAGTTGTCTGCTGTGCTATACTGGGAAGTGGATTCCTTTCACTACTTATAGAGTTAACTACACCTTCCAGGGAGAGGTAGTCCTGGTGCTGCCTTTGTCATGCCTATGAGGTAGCTGCAAAGTCAGGAAAACAAGAAGTGGGATCTTATCCTAAAGAGTACTGCTGTGCAACGGTGAGGTAGTTTAGCACCCACATTAGAAGCTGGGCATCCCACAAACATTTGCAACTCAAGTTCTGAGGAAATCGAGCTTTGTACCCACATCTACTTAGACACATATGCGCGCGCACACACACACAAGCAAAAAGAATTTTTCGTTTCTTTTTTGAGGTCCTCTGCGTCACAGAACTCACTCTGTGGACCAGGCCAAGCTGGCCTTGAACTCACAGAGATCCAGCTGCCTCTGCCTCCTGAGTTTGGATTAAATGAGTATACCACCACTGGGCATTTTTCTTCTAGTTTACTTATTTTATCTTGAGATGGGGATTTTTTATGTAGTCCTGGCTGTCCCAGAACTATGTAGACCATCACACTGGCCTGACATCCTGCCTCTGCAACCCCCAATCATCTCCCACATGACTACCCCTAGTAATGACTAAAATTATTTTGACTTCTGAGAAAAGATGGAATAGAACGACTAATTTATTTCACTTAGCACAATGCTCTAGAGATTAACCCATGCTAAGACCTTCCATTGTGTTTTGTTTGGTTATAGTCCAGGCTGGCCTTAGTGGATGGCAATCACTGCTAGAAAATCTCAAAGCCTGAGATTACAGGTGTGTATATGCCAAAGCTAGCCAAACTCCTTATTTTCTACTAAAGATCTTTTAGATAATGATGAGATATTATCTACTTTTTCCCAGTCCTCTGGTGAAGTTGAACTTGAATTGTTTCATATATTTGAGCATTAAAAAAAAACCACATTTTTGTAGCTTTCTGTATACTAGCACTATTCTAAATCCTGAGTATTGGGATTAAAGGTGTACACCTCCATTCCCACCATCACTATTTTCTTCAGGTAAGGCCTCTCAGTGAACTTGAAGCTCACTGGTTTCGATAGACTGGCTAGACACACAGCTTCAGGGATTGGTGGTTTCCCTATCCTCAGTGCTGGGGTTACAGGCATGTAACACTGTACCCAGCTTTTTACATAGGTTTGGGGATTGAAATTCAGGTCTTCATATTTGTATGGTAGACACTTTAAACCAAGCCTCTGCCATTCACAAGTGTACATACTCTTTCACATAAACCCTGAGACCCAAGGCAAGTGCTTGAGATTTAGAAATTTAGTTTGTAAAACTAACCCTAGCTCTTGTCTCCCTTATGAATCAGATTCTTCCTCTTCTTCTTCCTCTTCTTCCTCCATAGGGGTCCTTGTACTAAGCTTCAGGGTAGTTTGATTGATTGATTCTTCATTGTCTACGTGCACTGACATCTGTGTAAAACAAGAACATTTGCATTACTAGGAGGGAGCTGAGTCTCAAAACAGAACATTCTTTTTTTCTTCATCAAAACAGCAAATTCTTTAATATCCTGTTTCTTGTTTCTCCCATTACTGAAAAGGGGTAAGAATAAATGCTTCTTATTTTCTAAAATGTTAACTGGCTTTCAGAGTTCTTTTAGAAACCATCAGCAAAAGCAAAATAATTAGACTACATGGTTTATCACAGAATTTCAAAAATATGGTATACTGAGAAAGAATATGATTGTATTGGATTTTCTGTTTGTTTTACTTTTTGAAACCATGTCTCTCTTTTTGTAGCCTGGCTGTCTTAGAACTCACTCTATAGACCAGGTTGGCCTTGAATTCAGAAAGATCCACCTGCCTTGATCTTCCAAGTGCTGGGATCAAAGGTATGCACCACCACCCCACCAGCTTGTATTTGCTTTTTTGAAGGTACTTCATAAGAGTGAATAGGGTACACCTGCTACTCATCCTTTAGACCCATGAAGCCACATCCACACAGAGAGGTAACTATGACATAGTCCTAATACAGTCCTAAAATATTCCTAAAAAAGTCAAGAGTGCAGGGGGGATCCGGGCGTTGGTGGCACACACCTTTAACCCCAGCACTTGGGAGGCAGAGGCAGGCAGATCTCTTTGAGGCTCCAAAGCTATACAGAGAAACCCTGTTTTAAAAAACCAAAAAAAAAAAAAAAAAAAACAAAACAAACAAACAAAAAGCCAAGTTTCTAAGCAGTAAGTGGGGGAACATGCCTGTAATCCCAGAGAAGACAATCAGAAGGTGGCCAGGGTATATAAGACACTGCGAGTAGAGGCTGCTTAAATCTGACAAAGTATAAAAGACAGGCTTTATTGTCTGAAATATTAATATAGATTAGCTATTAGTTTAACTAAATATTGAGGGACTGGAGATGTAGCTCATGGGTAGGGTGCTTGCTTACCATGTATAAGCTCCCAGGTTCAATCTTCAGTAAATTCCCTCATGCCCCAAATATTTGAGAGGCACTTCCCAGGGTCCTTTGAACTTGGAAATGTGCTATACAGCATTTGCTAACCCATGCAGCAAGGGAACTATGGGACTCCACACTATCTGGAAGCCCGTACTTGACTAAACTTACATCATATAACTGTTCAGGTGCAGGCGGAGAAGGCAGCTTCTCAGTCCCTCTTCGAGAGCTTATCATTGATTGGAGGGCCAATTCTTCCACCTAGGAAGGAGGACATTTTACTGAGTAGTCGGCTGGTGTAGCAAAGTTAGTGAATTCCACTGCATGCTGTAAAGGTTGGCATCATGAGAGGAAACAGCTTCCAATCACAGGACTGCTCCAGAAAGGCAGAGGGAGTTCTTAATCTTTACTTGCTTTCCCCCTCAGATGGTATCACTGTATAGTCCTAGTTGTCTCAGAACTCCACATGTAGACCAGGCTGGCCTTGAACTCAGAGACATCTGCCTGCCTCTGCTTCCCAAGTGCTGGGAATAAAAGTGTGCACCACTACACTAGGCCTGAAGAGACAGTAGATGGAGTATGTGGCTGTGACAGGCCCTGCCCTTCTCCCCATTCCCTCTGCCTCACTTAAAACCATTACATTCCTGAAGCTAGGCCCCACAGTCCATTCCCCTATTTGGCCAATCTCTCCTCCTGAGGCTGACTACTAAGGTCCAGCTATCAAAGGTCCAACAGTTAAAAGCTCTCCTTGGCTCATCTAATTAACATGCCCAATTAAAACTAAACACCCCATCCTAACACGAGGTTTCCTCTTGTACCTTTATGAATAGCTATTTTCCTATGGGCCATGTCTGTCTCTTCTCTATCCAGAGACAGTCTTTGTCCCATATCCCTGCCCTCTTTCCCTCCTTGCCTTGTTACCTTTCTATTGTCCCTCATCCTCAATTCCCTGCCTTCTGTCCTTCTGGGGCAAAAAAAATCTCCTTTGTCCTGAAAAGTAGGTCTTGGGGTATATTGAGCCAACTTTGAGGTACCCTACACAGCTTCAACTGCTTTTTTGATAAGAGGGTTCCTATGTGTAGCCCTGGCTGTCAATAGAACTCACTCTGTAATCCAGGCTGGCCCTGAACGTCGATGCACGTGCCTCTGCTTAACCTTTTTTTGTTTTTGTTTTGTTTTTAGAGAGGGGCTTAAAGGTGTTGCACAGACATACAATAGATACAAAATTACATACACCAATACACATAAAATTTAAACAAACAAAAGATATAGATAAAGACATACATGAACATTTAGTCAGGTGTAGCTGGGTGTGAAACTGCATTCCTGTAATCCCAGCACTGGAGGAGGCAAAATGACAAACTTGAGATCAACCTGGGCTACAGAGGTTTCAGATCAGCCCCCCTCCCTCTCCTCTCTATTTCTTTCTTCCTTACACACACACACAAGCCAGGGGTCAGTTGGCTCCACAGACACAGATGGATGACCCAGATAGCCTGAGTTTGCCTACACATTTATGAGAAAGTGAAGGCAGAAGATGAGAAAATGCACGTGTTTCCTGGAGATCAGGTTATCTGCGTTTGTAAAATCTTCAACACACAATCATTAAGAGCAGTAACCACCCTGAGGAAAACTGCTTCTATACAACGGATATGCAAGTTTATAAAGGGCTTCTGTAATCCTTATGTCACTTATATTTAATATCTTGCTTAAGAGTGAGGTGCTGGGATCACCATATTTCACAGGGGCCAATTTATCCCTAGGTAATTCTGCGTTCGTCCTAATCAGTATCTGCTCTCGTAAGAGCTACTCTACGGGACAAGTTTTGTAACACTAAAGCCCTTTCCAGTGTATATAAACACTTGTAACAAGGTGCTCTGTCGTGGGTTTAGGGGGCTAAGCCCGCCGAACACCTAGAGGACCGGGACAGAGGGGAGCAAACTGCTGTCCGAAGCTCTACCACACGCGCGGGACGCCTGCGAGGGGCTGTGGCTGAGTCACCTTGAGACGGTTCAGTTGGTCATGCAAGGCCGCCTTTAGACGCAGCAGGGTCTCCTCCTCCTTGCGAAGCTCCTGAAGCCGGCTTAGCATCCTTTCACCTGGTTAGGCCACTGTCTTCTGCCGGTCGCTAGGTGATGACGTCACTTCCGACTCCCGGAAGCGGCACCAGATTATTCTCTTCAAACCAATTAGAATGGGTCCAGTAGCTACCTGAGTGTGAAAGCGCAGGAAAATGGAACCCCAAGGAGCTTGGAGATTCAATTCTGTTGCTGGTTCCTCAATGGGATAAACTCGTTTCAAAGGCCTCGGAAAATAAGTTCTCACCGCAGCACTTTTTTTTTTTTTCCATTTTTTGGTTTTCCGAGACAGGGTTTATCTGGAACTCGCTCTGTGCATCGTACTCTGAGATCTTCTTTCCTCTGCTTCGAATGTTGGGATTAAAGGTGTGGGGCACCAACGTCCTTGTTTGAAGGGGGTTTTCCAGAGTTTCCCTGTGTAGCTTTGTAGCCCAGGCTGACATCGATCGGCATGGTGCCGGGATTAAAGGCGTATGCCATCACTGCCCAGCCACCGCAGCACTTTTAACATGCCATTTGTTCCAAATGTCTTTACAAAGCCAAGACATTTGCAGGCATAAACCAAAATACCAACTTTGGGGGGGGGGGTGTTGGTTCGAGACAGGGTTTCTCTGTGGCTTTAGCTGTCGTAGAACTTGCTCTTGTAGACCAGGTTGGCCTCCAACTCTCGAGATCCGACTGCCTTTAAACTCGTGTGCCACCACCGCCTGACTAGAAATACCAACTAGTTCAAAGCTCCCACTTTGCAGGGAAACAAAAAGCCAACAAATTACAATGGAGACTTATTTGAGGCTTACTCTGCTTGCTAATGGTTTTGACCAAATACCACAAAGGACAGGAAACCCGATCAATTGTAGGATGACCAGATTAACATATTTAGATGAGCAAACAAACATCCCTGTCACTGCTCATTAATACTAGACAATAAGTTTAAGTACTTAGCTCCCAAGGTTACATCTGAAGGCCTATGTTCCCTTGTACCATCATGCCCCCTCTGATGGATACTCTGTGGCCTCTTCATGGAACCTCCATCACTTCCTGACTTAGTAACCATTGTGCTAAACATCTTCAATGACAACTGCCAATTAGGACTGACTTCACTACATACAGGTTTGGAAAAATCTCAAATTATAATTTTGTACCAGACTATAATGTGCAACAAATTTACAGCCTAAACTGGAGAATGATACTAAAATTAAAAACTAAAATGTCCTTGTTACAAAACCCTGATAACCTAAGCTTGGATACCTAGAATCCTATTGTTTCTAAGGGTCACACCACTCATCCTACAAAGGGGGAGATGTGTGTGTGTGGGGGGGGGGTCTTTGAATTGTCCACAATTGGAGTCACACAATCTGGGCTGAGTTCCAGGACAGCCTCCCAAACTACAGAGAAACCCTGTGTTGAAAAACAACAAAAAAGATTCACACAAATTGTTTCACTGAATCTTTGATCAGGTTTTTATTCAAATAGGCTCTCTCTATTTGCTCTATGGAATGAAACAGATTTAAGCAGCAGGCTTTTTCTCTTCCGTGGTAGGTTTTTTCTCTACTGGTTTCTTCCCAGCTGCTGGTTTCTTGGTAGTTGCAGCCTTTTTCCCTGCAGGCTTCTTTAGCTTCTTGACATCCACAGGCTTCTTTTCTTTCTTACTCTCTGCAGGCTTCTTGTCTGCTGCCCCTTTCTCTGACTTGGCTGCCAGTGCTGCTGCTGCTGCTTCTAGTTTCTTCACCCGGAGTTTGTGCTGCAACATAGGCAAGTAGGAAATTAAGAATTAAGTGTCAACCTTTAATCCTAAAACTTGAGAAATGGGCAGAATCTATCAGTTTAAGAACTGCCTCATATACATAGTGATTCCCAGGATAGCCAGAGCTATAAGGAGACCCTGGGGGTTGGTATTAAGATTTGACAATACCTGACACAGCAAATTATGGCTTACATTTCTGGCCTGGCGAAGAATGGTATTCCTACGCATAGTCTTTGCGTAAGGGTTCAGCTTCAACATGATTCTCAGGTTCTTCAGAGGATTCTTCTTCAAGACTCTACGATGAATCTTCTTGCTATAAAGAGGTAGCACTCATCAATCAACACATGCCTTTAAAAGTCAAAAGTATCAGACTGTATGTAGCAAGAGCTGTTAGGTATCAAAATCTTACCGTGGTGCTCGGAGGGCTCTTTGGATCTCTGGGCTTTTCAAGATTCTGCTAAGGTCTGTGTTCATCATCTTGTGCATGGGAAGGCTGGAATAAAAAGTTTAAGAAGTCCAAATTCCTATCTTCTAAGTGAACATGAATCATAAGAACTGTATTTCAAATGTGTTAACTCCAGGTAGAGAATTTTCCATCTTCTAATTTTTGTAATCTTGGTTCAGAGACTCACAATGGGAAATGTAAAAATTCAACGCATAATTTAGGAATACAAATCTAACTCAAGTGTGAATATACACTCTAGGCATCCATATGCAATAAAGAAATATATAGGAAATGCACTCACTTATAGTTACTCTTGAGGGAAGCAGCCTTTCGCCAAGTGCCATACAACTCATCTAACTTCCGGAAGGCGCTCTCAGTCCAAATGCAGAAACGTCCCACATGTCCACCAGGAGCAAGTTTCAAAATGTTCAGCTTGCTTACATTAAGCAGAGTAATACCTTCAAAGGCAAGGAAGAATCAGAGTCTGAATTCATTAACAGGGGAAAATAAATTTTTATGGCTTATTGAGGTACACAAGGCACTTGGTCTAATGAATTGTGAATTCAAGTTATCATGGTGGGACTCACTCATCTAGGAATCAGAACTTCCACAAAATCATGTTTATTTCAGAAACACGGACCATGAAGTGGAATTTCATCATTACCACAGCTGAGCAAGTATGAACCAAACAGGCAGTTAAAACCCGCTCGCCTTGAATCCCAGCACTTGCCTCTGACAGGTGGATCTGTGAGTTGGGGCCAGCCTGGCAGTCTACATAGTTCCAGGACAGGCTCCAAAGCTACAGTACCCCATTTCGGAAAAAAGAAAAAAAAAAAAAAAAAAAAAACCAAAATCTTTAATATTACAAGATTTACCAGGGATGTTTCTGAAGGCCTTGATGATACCATTATCTTCATTATAGATGATGCAGGGTCCCCTGCGCTGGATACGTCTCCGGTTTCTCATTTTGCCCTTGCCAGCTCTCATTCTCTGAGAGGCGTAGACCTAGAGTAGAATAGCTTTAATATTCTGATCAAGGTATAATCTTTCTACCAGCTCCTTCAATTTAAAAACAAACAGGCCAAAGAGATATCTCAAGATGATAAAGACACTTTCAGCTAAATATGACTATGTTTGATCCCTGGAACTCACAATTCTCTGCTAATATTTCACATTTCATATCTGTTACTAAAGGGTTATGACTTGCTCAGTATGAATTTTCATCAACCTTCTGAATCAGCATCTGACAGCAGGCAACTGTCACTGAAAACAGAGTAGGACGCAAATTACAACATCATTGCAAGCAAATCTGCACCTATCAAGCATGTTCTCTAATAAAACTATGCTGGGCAGTGGTGGCACACGCCTTTAGCAACACCACCCGAGAAGCATTCAGATCTCTGAATTAGAGATAGAGACCATCCTGGTCTACAAGAGTTCCAGGACAGGCGCCAAATACAGAAACCCTGTCTCGAAAAACAAAAATAACTAATTCTGCAAATTATCCTCTCTCTCACGAGTGACACAGTAGTGTTAATACAAATACTGACTTTATTGTTTTCTAAATACCACAGTATGTGACCAACAGGGAACTTAGGTTAACACAATTCCCTCACCTCTGTATCTTTCAGATTCCTATAATCTATATCCAATCAAAACCTGACAGCATTGATCAGTAAATGTGTATGCTGAACCTACCTTTTTGATATCATTCCAAGCTTTAAGTTTCTTAAGCAGCTGAACAGCCTCCTTGGTCTTCTTGTAACCCTCAACCTTATCTTCAACCACCAAAGGGAGTTCAGGTACTTCCTCAATACGATGACCTGTCAAAAACCATTTCAGTACTTACAGGAAAGTCTCAATACTACACACAAGCCCAAAGCAAAACGGCATACAGTCAAATCAGAATTTCCACTAATATCATGTGTTTCAGAAACACGGACCAATAAAGTGGAGTTTCATCATTTTGACAGATGAAGACACAGCAGGAATTTGATGGGAACTACAAGAGATTACCAGATTGAAGCAAACAAAACTGCCTTTTAGTAGACACCAAGAGGAATAGAATTCACTTAAGTTAATCACCTAACAAGTTTCTGTGAAAGGTAAATTCAATGTCCTGTATCAAAGCATCACAGACCTTTAGACATCACCAAAGCGGGTAAGGCTGAGGCAGCCAGGGCAGAACAGATGGCATAGCGCTTTTGGGTTGTGTTCACTCTGCGGTGCCAACGACGCCAGGTTTTGGTTGGTGCAAACATGCGGCCCCCCCGACACATCTGTTTTCTTTGTCAAGAATCATACCATTTTTCAGTTCTGGAGAACTAGTGAGGTTATGACTTGCTCAGTAACAACTTTCGTCAACCTTCTGAACTAGCTTACTGACAGCAGGCAACTGTCGCCATGAACAGAGTAAGACGCAAATTACGACATCACAGCAAGTAACCCCCATTTGAACATTTCCATATTGTAGTCTATAGGTTCTGTTTATTGGGGATGCTAGTAATTTTAGACATGGTTCTAAGTATTATTAAACATTAAAAAGGATACATTTCCAAAGGCACCCTGGCCAGAACGGTGGGTCCCACCACCTCGGACTCTGGGAATTCGAGCCACAGCTCTGCCAGTACCCCATGACTCAGCACTGGTCTGATGACCTAAAAACCAAAAAGAAGTATTAGGTACCATGCCACAACAACCCATGAAGTATTTTATACATTAAGGCAGTATCAGAATAGCCAATGAAAATCACATGATTCAGAAACACGGACCAATGGCATTTCATCACCCACTGCAAAGGAACTCTACCCATGATAAATGTAAATCCATACCTGCCAATTCACTCACGGCATAGGGCTGTCTGTTGTTTTTCCTCAAGTTCGTGTGAACAAAGTTCACAATATCCGGTCGAATGGGAGCTTTGAACACAGCTGGCAAAGTGACATTTTTGCCAGATGACTCCCCCTTTTCAGAGTAGACGGATATGAGGGGACGGGCACAAGCCTTGGAGGGAAGAAAAAGCTAACTAAGACACAAAGCAAGGATCATCTCCTGTATTTGGAATCTAGATTTAAAATACACATTTTACGAGTCACAAGCAGATATACTTATATTACACTACTTGTCAAGAACTAGGGACCAGAGGCAGGTGTTGAGAAATGGGTGAACCAGTACATAATATTCACCTGAGAAAATAAAAGCTTAACTATACTAACAATGTTGGAGGCAAATTATTCCTATCATTAAATGTTTTTGGAGGTAGCAAATACTTAAAATCAGAAATGACAAAAGCCACTGGCTGAGATTATATACACATCAAATTTGTGCTTGTCTAGCAAGGTGGGAGCAAAGTGTTAACAGGAGTTGAAGGTCAGCAGGCTTGCAGTAAACCCTATACCAATACCATAATTCAAGAAAAACAGAGCTAAAGTGACATCAACGGGTCTATCATTTCAATAGTTTTACAGCCAAAAAAAAAAAAAAAACACCCAAAGAGGACCTGTCAATTTTTAAAGAAAGTAAAAAAATGAAAAATTTGAAGATACTGTTCAATGAGATCATGTAACCAGCCCCCCACCCACCCTGAAATCAGCAAACATTGCCTGCCCCATCTCACTTTCCCAGCGTTCCAAGCTCACCCGAGGCTGGCCCACACTATCTGCCCACTTCTCTTCAACCTCACCTCCTACATCCTTTACCAAGTTCCTGTCATAGATTCAGTCAGAGATTTCACTCTCTTAAGTTCTCAACTCAGCGGTCAACCTATCTAGCCAATTGAAAGGTGAACCTCAGTCATGTGCTCAAATCTTAATTTACTGTGGTCAGACCATCGTTAGCCCATACATTAGGCATAGCACAGAAAGACATTTGTGGAAGAACACATATTTAACTACAAATATAAGTGAACAAGCATAGGGCTCAAACTATCCAGGTTACATCAAATAAGAACATTACTTTTTAAGGGACGAAGAAAGCATTGCTTTTCTAGGCAAGAGGCAGACACCTTCCTAAAAGCATTAACACTAATTTCCCTCAAGCAGGCAAAGGCAGCCTTTCTAAAAGGGCCAATACTAATTTCCCGCGACGCTTTCCTTAAGAGATGGATATATATTCACCGGACGCCAAGCACATGACGGGCTGCCGTCGGGCGTGTAACCAGCATCAAAGCGCTCGGTTTCCAGAAGCCTTTTTTTCCTTAGAACTACGCAAAGCGAGGATCCCCAAGTCCCCTGTATGTATCGTCCAGCCCGCGCTGTCTCCCACGTTGGCTTTAAAATGGCTGCCGCAAAGCCCATACCCCAGCTTCCTGCAATAAAAGATCTTAGGTTCCCTTCCCAAGGCCTCCTCGCCTACCGACCCCATGTTCTGATCCCTTCGTCCTCCCCTACAGGCCCAGAAATGAAGAAGGAGTCCAGCGGAGAAGACCTGCACTCACCATGACGGGGAGAGGAGAAGGCCACGCTCCTCTCAACCCGGCGGATCCCACAGGAAAAGGAAAGACTAAGCGCCTGCCCTCCACACATATCCCTCCACTTGACTCACACATCCTGCCCCTCCTCAGAACCAACTCGGAGAACCAAGAAATCTCTTCATTAGTATGTAAATTTTGAAAACAACATATTATTGCTGCACGTGTGTTAAAATTGGCACCTATTTTTTTCTACAGCTAAAATGATTCGTTAGAAAAGAGGGACTCTTTTTCGCGGAATAATTCGTAACTCTCTACCAACTCTCGCGAGATGAGATTTCTTGCCCCCCCTTAGCACAACATCTATTTTAACTTTTTTCTCCCACCCGACAGAAATGGGAGTCTATCAGAATCATAAATGCCACTATATGCGCTAATAAATTAGGACGATGTGTGTTAACTTTGTGTAAAAACGAACTTAATGGTGCGAAGTAGTTCCGGCGGGGCGGGGTCATGTCCTCTAACGTCAGCGTCGGGGCGCGCAGTTCAGTTTAGCTGCTCCGGAGTGGGAGGCCGAGGCGGGATGTGGGCGCATATGAACCGCTCTGCTGAGGAGTTTTATGCTCGTCTTCTGAAGTGAGTTGTGACTGAGTTATGAAATGGCATCTTGTCTCTCTTGGCCTTTGTATGTCCGCCCGAGTCTTTCCACAGCTGAAGCTCCGCTGGGGTCTGGGATAGCAGAGGGCGGGTCCCGGCTGTGCAATGGGTTTGGCACTGCTGTCGCCTAGGCGGCGGCTAGCCTCCCGAAAAAACAGTACTAGAGCAAGAGGGGCAACGTGACCAGTCAATGTACTCATCTTACTGATGCACCCACTTCTAGGTAGAGGCTCCCGGGATACAGACATCTAGATGTCATCCTCCTGCCATAAGCTTTGGCTGACACCTGAAAAAGCAATGTATAGTTGTCCGGTCTCTTCGCTAAAAGTCACTACTGTTTCGCTGTTTTACTGATTTTCTTGAGACAGGGTCTCAACTCTAAGCTAAACTGCACAAAGACTCACCTCGACGTCGCAGCGACGCTCTTGGGCAGCCTACTGATGCTTAGATTAGAGGTGTGAGCCACCATGCCAGAATTCACATTGTTCCTCTAGTGAAATATTACTCCAAAAGGATTCTGTCAATTCTACATCCTATATGAAAATTGAAGACAGTGCCTCATATCTGCCACTGCATCAGAATCACCTCCAAGGGATGGGGAATTGTCGAAATACAGATTTACACGCTCTGCCTCCAAAGTTTTTGATTAATAGGTCTGATGTGAGACCAAAAAAGTTTACCTTTCTAAACTCTAGGTTCAGGGCGTTGCTGGCTGGGTAGAGTATTTTTTTTAAATGCTATACTCTTCCTGTTTACAAAAGCAGTAATGCTTCTAAAATAATATAACGTTATAGGTGAAGAACTAGTGTGGGCTTGTTTTAGTTTTCCTTTGGGGGGGGGTGTTGTTTTTCAAGACAGAGTTTCTCTGTGTAGCCCTGGCTGTTCTGGAACTCATTTCTGTAGTCCAGACTGGCCTCCAACTCAGAGAGCCACCTGCCTCTGCCTCCCAAGTGCTGCTGGCATTAAAGGCGTGTGCCTCCACTGCCCAACTGAGAGCTACTGTTTTTAGAGAAGTTATTGATGTCTTTGAGCTCAGGAATTTCAGTTGTTTTTTACTGCTGTGGTAGTTCTGCCATGGTGTTAAATACTTGGTTGTTGTTTTAAACCTAAGGTCTCATTTTAGCCCATGGTAGCCTCCGGGCCAAGGATGAGTTGGACTAATAACCATCCTGCCTCCATTTCCAGTGTGGTGTCATTATAGGCATACAGCATTACACCCAGTTTTTGAGGTTTTAGGGACAGAATCCATGGCTTCACAGATGTTAGGCAAACACTCTTACACCTGAGTTATGTTACTTGCCTCTATGGTTGTATTGTCTGTTTTAACAACCCCACTGATAATAATTTACTTAGATCTGTTGTGCTTACCAATATTTTCTGAGTGTTGTTTTCCCAATGTGGGCTTTAACTCTAGAATCCTTGCAAGAGTTCTAAAATTAAGACCCCAGGTTCCCTCTTTTCACCTTTCCCAGACTCCCCACCACTTCTCTTGTTTTATTTCTTTACTAAGAATTGGAGGTGGGGTGGTTTTGGGATGCTAGGCAAGTGTTCTACCATTGATCCCAGTCTCCTTGTTCTTGCCCATCTCCACTATTCTACTACTTGGGGCCATCATCATCTCTCTGAAAAACTATAAGTCATTCACAGTTGTTTTCCTTCCAGAGTTGTTGGTACTGCCTAACTGACAATTTACTCTTTGGATTCCTCTCACAACTGGTTTTGTTTGCTTTCCCCAGTGTTTAACAAAAATGCTTGAGAAACAGTTGCTCAATGACCAAGCAATATCCTGGAATTATATGTAAGGGACAACCATCTTTAAGAGAGATTCATGGCATGGCACGGGACCCACACACAGAGTGGGAGGAGAAAGGATCCCACAAGTTGTGCTCTGACTTCAGCAGCACACATCCACATATATAATAAAAAATAAGAAACAGTGGGGTGTGCTGGCAAATGCCTTTTTAATCCCAGCGCTCAGGAGGCAGAGGCAGACAGATCTCTGTGAGTTTGAGGCCAGCCTGGTCTACAAAGCAAGTTCCAGGACAGCTAGAGCTGTTACATAGAGAAACCCATCTTGGAAAAAGAAAGAAAAAGATCTTGTACAATCTAACAAATTAATCTATGAGGCCTGTTTTCATGTTCCTAAATCAGTTATCCTGAGATATTGGGGTTTTCCAGTAATTAAAGATTCTTTTCACTGTAGGTCAGACTTCATATACATTTTGGTATTTCATTTGAGTCTGCTAATGGTTTATAATTTATGTGCTTTGAGGTAACTATTAAATATCTTATGAAACAGGGCTGAGCATTTAGTTAAAAAGCACCACTTATAGTGAGTGACTCATAGCTGCATGCAGCTACAGCTGTAGTGGGGAGTCCAATGTTCTCTTCTGGCCTCTGCGGTTACAAGCTCACACACATTCACACAAATAATTAAAATATCAACTCTTTATTTTATTTTCAAAAATATTTATTTATGCATATGAGTGCTCTATTTTCATTTATGCCTTCATTACAAAATAGGGCATCAGATCCTGTTATAGATGTTTGTGAGCCACCATGTAGTTGCTGGGAATTGAATTCAGGACTTCTGGAAGAGCAGCCAGTGCTCTCATCTGCCAAGCCATCCCTCCATCCCCACAAATCTTTTTTTAAATATATATAATTCTCTCTCCCCTCCCCCCCCCCCCCAGACAGGGCTTCTCTGTGTAACCCTGGCTGTCCTGGAACTCACTCTGCAGACCAAGCTGGCCTCAGAGATCCACCTGCTTCTGCCTCTTGAGTGTTGGATTAAAGGCATGCACCACCACTGCCTGACCCAAAACTTTCTTAAATGATAATTAAACTTATTTTAGAGGCTTTTGTCTTTTTGGTTTTGTTTTTTTAAATACACTCTCACTATGCAGCTCAAGTTGCCCTAGAACTTACCTTCCTGCTTCAGCATCTCAAGTGCTGGAGTTATAAGTGTATACCACCATCCCTAGTAGATTTTTACTTTTTTAGGATTTTTTTTTTTTTTTTAAATGAATCTGGAGGGATGACTGAAGGGCCAAGAGCATTACTACTCTTCTAAAAGACCAGAGTTTGGTTTCCAGAACAGCAGGCAGTTCAGAGTCACCTGGTGGTGCGACTCCAAGCCCAGGTCTTGGGTACTTGCACTCACACATGCATTACCCACTCCCCTTACATACACATATAATAAAAAAAAATATTTTTAGATTTTATGTGAATGCTCTCTTTACATGTATGTATGCACATTGGTTTGTGCCTGGTACCTGCAGAGGTCAGAAAAGGGTGTCAGGTCCCTTGCAACTGGAGTTACAGATAAGGTTGTGAGCCATCATGTAGGTGCTGAGATCTGAACCCAGGTCCTCTGCAGGAGTAATAGTGCTTTAACCTTGAGCTATCTCTCAAGCCACCTTACTTACCCTCACCCCCCAAAAAACAATTGTTCTGAGACAGTCTCACTATGTGTCTCTGGCCGGCCTGGAAGTCACAGAAATCTGCCTGCCTCTGCTGGGATTAAAGGCGTGCCCCACTGTGCTCCTTTATGTTTTCTTAACCTAATTGTTTACCCTTCTGCAGCTATCCTTAGAGCTGCCATAAGGACTAAACTTTTCCCACTGATGCATAAATAAAGTAGCAGCTAAATTCCGAGTTTAAATAGCAAGGCTGGTCACAATGCTGTTTTCCACACACTGTTCTGTATTTCAGGGAATTTAATGAAGCAAAAACGGGAGTCAGTAAAGACCCATTCATCTATGAGGTATGTGCATTATTTGGCTTTAACATAATGATACCAAAATCATGTTTTTTTTTTAAATTAATTTACATATGCTAAATTTTACCCTTTTAAGACAGTTCTATGAATTTTGACATAGGCGTGCAGCTACCCCCATTATCAAAATGTAGACTACTTCCTGTTTAAAGATGTGTTCATGTCTCTGTATCAGCATTTTTATGTCTCTAGTACCTGCAGTTACTAATTTGTTTTCTGTCTCCATAGTTTTGCCAATCCCAGAATGTCAATAAATAAAATATATAGTTTCTTAGATTTGGTGCTTTTTTTCCTGTCTCTCTCTGCCTGCCTGCCTTGCCTGCCTTCCTTCCTCTCCTCCTTTCTCTTTTCTGTGTGTTTGAAGCAGATTCCCACTGTGTAGCAAAGAGGGCTTAACAAGGCAGCACATCCTCACTTGGACTTTGAAAAAGTTTGGACAGGTGGTGGATGTAAGCTAGATTTTCTTGTGTATGTACATGCACATGTACCTATGGGTACATGTCAAGGCCAGAAGTCAATGCTGGGTATCTTCCTCAGTTTCTTTCCACCTTAGTTATTTTGTGACAGGGTCTCCTACTCAATCTAGAACTCCTTACTTGGCTGTACTGACTGGCCAGCAAGCCCAAGTTCCTGCTGTCTCTGCCTCCCGAGCACTGGAGTTCTAGATACATGTAAAGGTGGGGTAATAATGAGTTCACCAGACCCAAGATAAATGATAAATGGGTGTTTTATTGGGGAACAATTACACAGATAATAGTTTAAAACCTCTATGGTGTTCCTGCTACAGAAGATACAGTCTTTGCCCTTCTGATGCTCTCCAAGAGTATGCCCTGCCCCTGCTTCTCTACCTTCAAGCACCCCCACACACAAACACACACACCCGCTTCTCTACCTTCAACCATGCCCAAAGGGGTGTGGCCACTAACACAAATTCACTGGCAAGGCGAGATAGTACTACATACATGCCCTTGTGTTTATTTAGCTTTACATAAGTGCTGGGAACTGAGCTGAGTCCCCCTCCACCCTCCAGTGTTTAAGCAACAATTTTCAAACTGATATATTTCCCCAGTCAATAAGCTAGGTTTTCTAAACACAAGAAACAGGCTGGCAAAATAAGAGGAACCTTTTAAAATATGTTCCTTTTTTAGGAATTTGCATAAGTTGGTCTGTAGTACTTAAATTACATATAAAAACACTGAAGTCTTATTTTAATAGGCTGATGTGCAAGTGCAGCTGGTCAGCAAAGGCCAGCCGAGTCTTCTGAAAACTATTCTGAATGAAAACAACCCAGTGTTTCTTGCGGAAAAAGTGGTAAGTATTGGGCTTTGTGGTTAGTTCTTAGTAACTAAATTTGTTTCTTTGGGAATATTCTTACACTACGTGTTTTCCTATTAGCATTAATGAAAGTGAACACTAATTCTTTTAGGAGTAAGCCTGGTGCTATCTACTGGAAATATAATGCAAACCACAGATATATACATATTCCTACTTTTATAATAGATTGATTAAGAAAAAGAACAAAGCCAGGCATGGTTGCAAATGCCTTTAATCCAGCACTCTGGGAAGCAGAGGCAAGTGGATCTCTTGAGAGTTCAAAGCTAGCCCAGTCTACATAATGAGTTCCAGAATAGCCAATACTACATAGTGAGAACCTCACCCCCAATCTATGAAACAAAACCAAACCAAAAAAAAAAGAGCAAATAAAATTATCAATAAGTCATTCAAGCCCATTGGACACATTAAAATAATCCCTTTTGTAAGTTTCTACTGTGTGTATTCCATGGTATGGATATACTGTCATTTGACCCTTGAGGGGCACTTAGGTTGATCTTGGTCTTTGGCTTTTATATGTAAAACTACTATGAAAGTGCCAGAGAGGTAGCTCAGTCGTTAAGAGCACTGATTGTTCTTGCAGAGGACCTAGGTTCAGACACCAGGATCCACGTGGCAGCTCATAACCTTCTATAACTCTAGTTCCAGGATACCTGTCATCCTCTTCTGGCATTCATGGGAACTGTACACACTTGATGCACAGATACATGCTGACAAAGCATCAATACATGTAAAATTAAGAGGGAGAACTAAGAACTACTATAATTACTCCTATATTGGTGTGTGTGTGTGTGTGTGTGTGAGAGAGAGAGAGAGAGAGAACATACCTAGGTTTAAATGTTGATCCCCCCCCACTTACCATTTACTAGCTATGTGGTTCTGGGCAAGTGATTTAGTTTTTTGTTGATTTCAGCTTTTTTCTCTATAAAACAAGGATACTAATAATGTCTATGTGGTGATTTTTTTGGACAATAAAGGGAAAATTAAAATGGGGCCTAAGATATACTAATGCTCAGGAAATGTTACTCTATTATTGTTGTCAAAACCAAGTTATGTAACTACTGTACAGACACAGATATTAAATCTCGGTAACACCAGTGAGAGCTGACAGCCCAAAAACGAGGACGTATAAAAAGTGAGGGCTACCTGGGCAGTGGTGATGTACACCTTTAATCCCAGCACTTGGGAGGCAGAGGAAGGCAGATCTCTGTGTTCAAGGCCCGCATGGACTACAAAGCAAGTTCTGGGACAACTAGGACTATTGCACAGAGAAAACCTTTCTCAAAATCCTGCCCCCCCCAAAAAAAATCGTTAGGCTAGGGACTGGAGTAATGGCTCAGCCTTTAAGAGCACTAGCTGCTCTTCCAGAGGACCCAGGTTTAATATCCATTGCCCACATGGCATCTCACAGCTGTCTGTGACAGACATAAATGTGGGCAAAACACCAATATATATAAAATGCAGATAAAATGTTTTTTTAAAGTGAGGCTTAAAGCTAGGCAGTTGTGGTGTACATCTTTAGTAAGTCCCAGCACTCAGGAGGCAGAGGCAGGTGGATCTCTGTGAGTTTGAGGCAAGCCTGGGCTACAAAGAGAGATCCTGTCTCAAAAAACAAACCAAAAAAAAAAAAAAAAAATCAGTACTGGAGAGATGCCTCAGAGGTTAAGACCACTGACTGCTCTTCCAGTGGTCCGGGAGTTCAATTCCCAGCAACCACATGGTGGCTCACAACCATCTGTAATGACATCCAGTATCCTCTTCTGGCCTGCAGGCACACATGCAGGTAGAACACTGTATAGATAATAAGTAAATAAATAAACTTTTGAAGAATAACTTGAGAGTTATGGTACTGTATACCTGTAATCCAAATATGTGGTCATTGTGTATGTATAAATAAATGGTAAAATTGAGGGCTATGTATTCAAAGCTCATATGCCACCAACAGTTTGTTCCAGTTGAGAAATGAAAATACCTAAATATCTAGACATTTCTCATGGATCTTCTGTGGTATTTTACTTTTAGCTTGGCATACTATGAATGTTAAAGCATTTTTCTAATGTCATCAATATCTTTGGGAGCTGGAGCGATGCCTCATTGGCTAGGGACACTTGCTTCTCTTTCAAAGGAACTTGGTTTTATTTGCAACATCCATATGGCAGTTCATAACTGTCTGTAATTCCAGTGCCAGTGCTCTTAAATGCTGAGCCATCTCTCCGGGCCCCTGTGTAGTTATTTCTTAGCACAGAAGAGGTTTGACTCTTGCCTCTGATTAAATTATTTATAATATTTCTTAAGCTTTTGGAAAAGGAAGAAACAAGTCATGTTGAAGAACCACAGTCTGAAGAAACTGCTATTTCTGATTTCTCTACTGGTGAAAATGTCAGGCCACTGGCCTTGCCAGTTGGGAGAGCAAGGTAAGTCTTTTGTTTATTTTACCTTTATAAGTTTAGAGTAAAGGAGAGGTGAGAGAATTTGAATTGAATCATTGCCGGGGCTAAGGATGTTAGGGATAGAGGAGAGGATTTGAATTGAAACATTATTTGGGCTAAGGATGTAGCTCAGTGTGTAGACTGCTTGATTAGCATACATGAAGCCCTGGATTTGAGCCCTAGCACTGCATAAAACCACACATGGTGACATACACCTCTAATCTTAGCACTTGGAAGGCAAAAGGAGGAGGATCAGAAGATCAGAGTCATCTTTAACTATTTAATAAGTTTTTAGTAGCTTGGCTACATGAGATCTGCCTGACTCAAATGGAAAAATAAAAAGGTATTTGTAGCATTCAGCATTCTTACAGATGTTGAGAAAACTGCGTAATTATTTGCCCTGAATCTAGCCCAGTCCCCTTCCAGTCTCTCTTCCTCCATACTACCAAACTTATCATTACAAAATGAAAGCATGATTGTGTTGCTTCGATACTTAAAAAATCCTCTCTAAGTTCTTCATTGCCTTAATGGTAAAATCCAAGATTTTCATGCTTGATGCTTCATTTTCTAACTCCAGAGGTTGTTGTCCACCAGGGGTGCTAGTAGGTTGGCATTCATTAGTTGTGTTTTTAGGTGTCACGATGAATAGAACTCTGGGCATATCATGGGCAGCTGTACAACATGAATTATCATGTCCAAGAAGTCAGTATACTTCCAGAATATACATGTTTGCCTCTTATACTTCCTTTCTTGCCTTCTTGCTTTGTGCATATGTAGTGGTCTCTACTCAGCCCCTTGTTACCTGCAAACCAAAGTGTTTGCCTTCAAGGAGTTCTTGAGGATAGAATTCTAAGAATTTTAACATTGTGGAGCAAAAGTGCCGGCACTGTTCACAACAGTAATATGCCTTTATGCTGATTTTTACACCCACACACATAGAAGTTTATAAACTCACATCTTTAATCCCAACACTTGAGAGGCAGAGACAGGCAGGTCTCTGAGTTTGAGGCCACGTTGGTCTACAGAGTTCCAGGATAGTCAAGGCTACACAGAGAAACAAACACTGTCTCAAAAAAACAAATATAAAAAAGTTTATAAACTTTCTTTAATGGCTTCTTGGCTATAGTCGTAATGTGGCCACTTTTCTGTTTCCTAGATCTTGAACATTATTTGGTTTTCTTCTGCCAGGATGTGTCAAGTGTGCATATTCACGTGGGAAGAAATACCTATGGATATGCAGGCCAAATGACAACCTCAAGTGTTGTTTCTTAGGGTCCAGGGCCTTTCCTGGCCTAGAGCTTGCCAAATAGGCTAGGAGGGCTGACATGAGTCTAGGGTCCCCCTGTTTTCTCCCTCTAGTGCTGGGATTAAAAAGTGTAGGAATCATTGACACCCAACTTTTAGTTTTATTTATATGTTTAATCTATGTGTGTATGTGTATATGTGGTACCTGCCTGTGGAGTTCAAAAGAGGTAGACTCCCTTGGAGCTGGAGTTACAAGCAGTTATGAAGCACGGGACACGGCCATAGAAAGTCAAAGTTAGATCCTCTGGCAGAGCAACAAGTGCTCTTAACCCTTAAGCTATCGCCAGCCGTATGTATGCATACGTCCATTTTAATGAGGGTTCTGGAGATGGAACACAGGTCCTTATGCTTGCAAGACAAGCACTTTATCAATTAAGCTATCTCCCTGCCCCTATCATTTCTTGGTTTTCTTTTTTAAATTTATTTAATATGTATACAGTGTTCTGTCTGCATATGTGCATGCAGGCCAGAAGAGGGCACCATATCTCATTACAGATGGTTGTGAGCCACCATGTGGTTGCTGGAACATTGGGAAGAGCAGCCAGTGTTCTTAACCACTGAGCAATCTTTCCAGACCCCAGTTCTTGGTTTTCTATTTCTTCATACCTTTCATACCTTCTTAAAATTTCTGTGCTTACTTTTTAAAGTCCAATGCCTTAGAAATTTCCTTATTGAATATCTGATAGTAAATTGTTTCTATCTCTTGAAAAAAAAATGAAATTTATTTTTTTAGTTGACCTTTAATTTTGGTATATGTGTTCAAATTTCAAGTGGTAGATAGACTTTCTCTATACCTTAATGTACATTTGCCAATTCATGTTTTTTCATTTTTCTCTTTCAACAAATACAGATTTATATGTGCAAAGCATATATGGTACATGTATATACCATATAACATGTATTGTTATCACGTCAGAATTATGTATTAATATATTTTTGCATCCAGTATATATTACTTTATAATGTATTTTGTGAGAGTGTGGTATGTGCATGTTAGGTCTGTGCAGATGCCAGACATATTGGATCCCACTGATGCTGGAGTTACAGGCAGTGCTAAGCCACCAAGTGTGGGTGCTAGGAACTGAAATCTGGTCCTTTGCAAGAACAGTACATGTCCTTAACTGCTGAGCCATCTTTCTAGACTTATAAACTATTAGAGTATGTAGTATACACTGTTCTTGCTGAAATATGTAAACATATATGTATTCATGCATTTTGTCACTTCATTTCCAGATTGTTGACTGTGAGACCCTTCACATTATCTTTTTTAAATTAAAATAAAAAAAAAATAGGGTATGGGATGGTGCTGGAAATTGAACTCAGGGTTTAATACATGCCAAGCATATGTTCTACCACTGAGCCACACTTTCAGCTTCAAAGATAATCTGCGATTGGTATTTTATAATTGGTTCTATCCATTATTTTCAAGGCAGTTAATTGGGCTGTATACCATGGCTCACAATCCTAATATGACCCACTTGAAGATTAAGCAGCCAATTACTGCCCTTCCTCCTCTTTGGGTGAGATGTGACAGTTCAGATCCTGAAGGTACCTGTTGGCTAGGAGCTGAGCTTATCACAACAAATGACGTCATTACTGGAGTTGTCTTATATGTGGTCACTTGTAAAGGTAAGTGCTCAGTCTTGGAATATTTATTTGCATAGATGTTTTGTGGTATTCCTGGGCTTCCATATAGGAGGGAAGTATAATGTGGAACATTGAACCTTCGATTTGTACTTAACATTGGGGAGGAGGTATTGCCGAAACTCTTGAAAGTCTGGACAGATTATGCCTGCTTTGTTTGGGTTTAAGTTAATTTGTGCTTTTTTCTTTTCTTTCTTTAATTTAAAAGATTAAAAACCAACAATAACTAGAATGTAATCTTATTTTTACCTTTTTGGAAAGGGGTGGGTTGAGGCAAGGTTGTCTATTTTCTGCTTTACCTTCTGTGATTCTACCTAAATACCACATCTGCCATCTGGACCTTTTTTTTTTTTTTAGGTGTGAGTTCTTTGCAGGCTAGTCTTGAACTCCTGGGCTCAAGTGAGACTTCCATTTCAGCCTCCTAAGCAGTTTAGACTACAAGTCCATGCCAGTGTGCCTAGCTATTTATTTGCCATATATGTCTCTGTGAGTGTGCACATTTGTTGTTTGTTTATTGCAAGTGTCTTGTAGCCCAGTCTGAGCTCAAATTCAATATCCTTCTGCCTCTGGCTCCAAAGTAGCTAAGATTTTAGATGTGAGTTTCCATGCTTGACTTTGTGTTCCTTTTTTGAAACATGGTATCACTGTGTAGCTCTGTTGAGCCTGAACTTAGTACATAGACCAAAGTGGTTTGGAACTCACAGAGATCCAACTGCCTCTGTCTTTTTCTCTTTTTATTTTTAAAAATTTATCTTTGTTTCGTGTGCATTCATGTTTGGCCTACATATATGCCTGTGTGAGGGTGTCAGATCCACTGGAACTAGAGTTACAGACAGTTGTGAGATGCTGTGTGGGTGCTGGGAATCAAACCCAGATTCTCTAGAAGAGCAGCCAGTGCTCTTAACCAATCTGCCATCACTCCAGCCCCCAACTTTCTAGTTTTAACAGTATAATTCAGAATTAAATCTTTCCTTTCCTTTTCTTTTCTTTTCTTTCTTTTTTTTTTTTTTTTTTTTTTTTTTTTTTTTTTTTTTTTTAATATCATGACCTGTAGCTGATAAAAATTACTCTGAAGATCTGGAAAATCTAAAAAATTCACACAAGAAAAGACATCACTTGTCTGCTGTGAGTATTTGTCTTGTTAACTAACTTAACACTAAGCTTGATTGATCTGCCTTCCTAGCATAATAGCTTTCTTCTCACTCTTGCTATGACTAGATGTTGCTCTGTAGTGTTAGAGTATTTGTATTTATTTTATGTCAGCCAGGGCACAGTTATTCTTTGATAGCTTTGGAGTTGATTCTAGAATCATGCTCAAGTACTAAAATCTGTGTGCTTGAGGTTTAAGGTTGGCAGTCTCCTTAGATGTTGTACCCAGTGTTTGTAACTTGAAAGAATTGTCTTATATTTTCATTTGGGACAACAATGTGATATATGGGGTTTTTTTGTTTGTTTGTTGTTTTGTTTTGGGACAGAAATCAAGGTGATTTTGATAATGGTTTGGTCATATAAAGTTGTTGCTAATGATATTCTTGTGACCCATCTTCAGGTAACAGTCAGAGGATTTGCCCAATATGAGCTCTTTAAGTCCACTGAATTGGATGATATTGTTACCCCATCACAAACTACAGTCACTTTGGATCTTTCCTGGAGTCCTGTGGATGAGATTCTTCAAACCCCTCCCTTATCCTCAACTGCAGCTCTGGTAGGAATGGACTCTGTCTTCTCTTTAGATTGCGCAGGCTCCTGATGGGTTTACTTGTTTATTGCTAATGCTGTATGACATTCACTGGTCGCTAGGCTGTACCACTTAGAAAACCTTTACTGGCTCCCAGGTTCTCTCTCAGCTAACAACCAATGGAGGTTTTGCTCTGTCAGTTGCTCATAACTCTAATACTATGACATTTTACTTTCAAGAGATGATTAAGGTCCCTTATGTGGGGACTCAAGGGGAGTTGACTTCTTTCTGTTCCTGGGCAGCCTAAATCCCAGCACTCGGGAGGCAGAGGCAAGAGGATCTCTGTGAGTTTGAGGCCACCCTGGTCTACATAGTGAGTTCTGAGACAGCCAAGCTATATAGTGAGACCAGTCTCAAAAAGAAAAGAACTTAAAATTGCTAATAAAACCCAAAAATCTATGAATAAGATACTTGTTATATAGCTGAGTTCTCAAAGTATTAAGAACACAACATTCAGTTTAAAAAAGAAATGGTGAAAATGGGTGTAAAAGCTATGTATGCTTTTAAAACCAATTTTTGATATTGTGTATAACATAATAGGCAAGCATTCTCCCACTGATCTATGTCCCCAGCTAACCCTCTTTTAAGGTTTGTTTCAGTGATTTTTAAGTATGAGTATGTGCATGTGAATGCGGGTGCCTGCAGAAGCCAGAGGTGTTGGATTCCCCTAGTTCTGGAGTTAGGAGTGATTGTAAACTTCCCAACATGGGTGCTGGAAATTCAACTTAGGATCTCTGCATTCACAGTATGTGCTCCTAACTACTGAAACATATCTCCAGGACAACACCCCCATGCCCACACCTAGCCAGGTGCCACATTCCTTTAACCCCAGTGTCAAGTATGTTCTCTGGGAGTTCTAGGGTAGGCAAGGATACATAAAGAGATGCAGGCTTTTAATTAAGTTTCCTAAGGTTGGCCTTAAACTTGCTCCTTAATCCATACTGGCCTATAATTTGTGACTTCTTGCCTTAGTATCTAGAGTAGCTGGGACTATAGCCTACAGCACCAGGTTTGGTTTTTTTTTTTTTTTTTTTTTTTTTTGTTTTGTTTTGTTTTGTTTTTTTTTTATAGGTGATGCAAGTGGATCTTGTTGAGTTTGAGGCCAGCCTGGTCTACACAACTAATTCTAGGACAGCCAAGACTAAAGAAAGGAAGGAAGGAAGGAAGGAAGGAAGGAAGGAAGGAAGGAAGGAAGGAAGGAAGGAAAAAAGAAAAAAAAAAACATGTCTTGCAGGGGGAAAAGTTATATTTTAAAAGTTTATGGCTGGGGATATGACTCAGTGGTAAAGTACTTGACTAGATCCAATCCCTAGACTTTGTGGTGTGGGGATAGGTGTTTTAAAAGAACAGTTATAAAGAAGACGTATACAGAACTTGTACAACTGTGGATGTCAAGTATGTTTTGTTTAAAAAAAAGTGTACCCAGCCTGCGCCATATTAGCAATGGTTCTCTTGGAGGGCAGGATTGTGGATAATTATATTTGTGCTTTTCTCCTCCTGTAGTAGTTATTTACTTGCTTGTTTTTAAGTATTTAAGGTTGTAAAGCTGTAGCTTCTGGCTAGACTACTGTGTTGGTTTAGTTTGGAGCCTAATACAGTTACTTATTGGGATTTTGTTTTCAATATGTCATAAGTATCAAGGAGTTTTGAGCTATTTAAATAAATATTCTTCCACCTGTGCTCTTGGAAATTCCCTGAGGGAGGCAGTTGTTCCATCTTCATGGTACAGAGGGCAGTGGCTTGATTCAGATTGTGTATCAGGATGGCTGGATCTGTAATATCTCAGGGTAAGATGTTCTAAGCATGAGTGGACCTAATTTAATTTACTGGTGTTTTATAAAGCTTGTAATTGAGGGCTGGAGAGATGGCTCAGTGGTTAAGAGCACTGCCTGCTCTTCCAAAAGACCTGAGTTCAATTCCCAGCAACCACATGGTGGCTCACAGCCATCTGTAATGAGATCTAGTGCCCTCTTCTGGCCTGCAGGGAAAGCATGTAAACAGAACACTGTATACATAATAAATAAATATTAAAAAAAAAAAAAAAGCTTGTAATTGAAATGCAAGTCACAATGATTTGTGGACAGAGAAGATGGGTGTTGCCAATGAAAACTGATGGTCTTTGATATTTTTTAGAATATCAGAGTACAATCAGGAGAGCCCAGAAGTTGTTTGAATCATCTCCACAGGGAACTGAAATTTCTCCTTGTGAGTATCATTCTGGAATTTCTTTCATTGAATTACACATTGTCATGATACTGTTTGACAATATAACTTTGATTTTCTTTAAAAGCTATTTTTCTTTTTTTTTGTGAGTTAATGTGTGCATGTTTATTATCTTATGTAAAAGAAAAATACACAACAACAATAGAAGACAAAAACAAAAGAAATTGAAGTGCATAATATAGGATATTATCTGAAAGCAGACAGATAAGTTATTTATACCATAAACTCCATACAACCACATAAAATACTTTGTATCTACTAAGCTAAAAGAGGAGATAAAATGGATATTAAATATTACTAAATTAACTCAAGAAGACAGACAAAAGAGGTAGAAGGCACAAAGATACAGAAGACAAGTAGAAATGGATAAAAAAGTGGGGGCATGTCAGTGTACTGATTTCATTAACTATAAACTCCATTAAAAAGCAAAGATAGATGTAATGAAAACAGGTATAATGAAATGTCCTCTGTAAGAGAAATGTGATTTTGCCAGGCATCGTAGCTTATCACTCAAGGGGCTAATGCAAGAGGACTGCCATAAGTTTGAGACCAGCCTGGTAAAATCTGTTTTAAATGTTACATTTCGTTATACTCTTCACATCTTGGACAGTTATTTACTTGGCCCCTTTTTGCCTTTTAAAATTACATTGTATTTATTTGTTGTACCAATCAATTACAGCCCTTTCACTTCCATCTGACACTCTCAAGATCATGCATTGTTTCTCAGTAGAGACTGATGGCATTTCACACTTCCCTATCCTTTGTGATTTGGACCATCCTACACATAGCAATATGTTAACATCCCTGACTTCCACCAAGTTATTATTTCCACCTTTTTCAGAGACCCTCAGGAAGTAGGAAATTATTTCTTTTCTATTGAAAAACATTTTTCTATGAAAATAAAGGAATTACTAATTACTTGATCCTGTCATTTTATTGTTGCAAAGTGAATGAATGATAAATATCTCTCATAGGAAGCCACAAAAAAACTTGTGAAGTTTCTCAGTCTTTTAGTATATTTGCCCTGTTCCTTCACTTCTGGTTGAGGTCATTCCTCATGATCTTCCCCTTTCTCCTTCCCTACTGTAGGTTCTGCTTAGATTTTGGTATGTGCATGTGTGTGTAATTATTTTGTGTTTGGATAAACTTGTTTTCAGTTTCACATTTGTGGTTTCATTGTTAACTTCACCTGTTGTTCCCATGTACATAGCAGTATTGTTGAGAATAGTATTCTTAGAATCAACCTGTTGGATGTGTATCCTGTACTGTTTGTTAGTAACTGTGTGATACTCAGCTAGTTACTGAAGCTTTCTTAGCATCCATAGAATGAGTATAGTAGTATTGTCTACCTCAGAAAGTTTTGTTGGGATTAAATAACACACTACATACAAAATCATGTGACTGTACCTAGCAAGTGGTCAATATTCAAGAACTGTTACCATAGGGCTGGAGAGGGGGCTCCTTGGTTAAGAGCACGTGTTGCTCTTCCAGAGGACCTGGGTTTGATTCCTAGCACCCACATGGTACCTCATAACCATCTGTAACTCCATTTCCAGGTTATCCAATGACCTCTTTTGAACTCTGAAGGTACCAGGCACTTAATGTGGTGCACAGACAAAAATGTAGAAAAACAATACATGCAATAAAATAAATCTTAGAAATTTTTGTTTTAAAGAACTACTTTAATTGATACCATTAAATACATCCATATTAATTAAGCTGTGATTTCTGCTGACATGTTTTCTGGCTGTTAAATTTTTCTACAGGTTTTGGCTGATGGCTTAAGGACTGGTGTAACTGAATGGCTTGAACCTCTGGAAACAAAATCTGCTGTTGAACTTGTACAAGAATTTCTGAATGGTACTTGTTTTCATAATCCAGTCTTGTTTGTTGCTTGTTTTTGATTGAATATATATGCTTACTGCATTTAAATATCAGTTGTCTTGTAACTTTATATAGCTTTGAGTTAGAATACATTAAATCTGTGATCTGATCTAGTTGGAGGGACAGCTTTTGTTCTAAAGTATTAGCAATAGATGTTATTATTGAAATCATAAGATTTAGTTTGAGCCAAGCCTGGGGGCACAGGCATGTAATCCTAGCTAGTTGAGAGGCTGAGGCAGGAGAATTATTAGCTAGAGCTACAGATTGAGTTCAATGCCAAGTTAGGCAACTTAGTGAGACTTTGTCACAAAATAAATACAAGAATAAAAAGAGGGCTGGGGATGTAGCTCAGTGGTAGAGCACTTGCCAACTGTACTTGAGTTCCTAGGTTTGATCAGGCTTCAAGACTGCAAAAAGATCATTTACATGGAAATTGATGCAGCACAGGTGGGTTTTAGATTGTAGAAGAGTGATGAAACAGTATCTGAGTGTCTTCCACATGCCTGTCATTGTGCTTGAAGGCTATCCTGCTGTTCTCATTTGCTACTTGAAAACAAGATTTGGATGGAAATAATACAGACAGTAGAAAAATAAAATCAAGTTAATGAGCTTTTTCCACTTTCTAGATGTAAGTAAACTGGATGAATTTGATGATTCTACAAAAAAAGATGTACAAAAAGAGGTAAGCATTACTGTTAGTTAGAAATTTAGCCTGTGGGCTAGAAAGATGGCTCAGTGGTTAAGAACACCAGCTGCTCTTCTAGAAGACCCAGGTTCAATTCCCAATACCTATATAGCAGCTCACAATTACCTGTAACTCCAGTTCTAGGGGATCTGACACCCTCACACAGACATGCAGGGAAAATACTAATACACATAAAATAAGAGTAAATACATCACTAAAAAATGTTTTAAGGACTGGATAGTTCAGTGATTAAAAGTACTGGCTGTTGCTCTTCCATAGGTCCTGAGTTCAGTTCCCAACAACCACATGGTGGCTCACAACTATCTCTGGTGGATCTGATGTCCTCTTCTGGCATAGATGTGTGCATGTAGATAGAGCATTCTTATATAAGATAAATAAATAAATCTTTTAAGTTTCTAAAAGGAAACATACCGCTTTTGAAATTTGGTGTACTACCTTTGGTTTTGTAGCATCTCATATCTTCTTCCATATGTTTTTGTTAGTTAGCTACAGAGAGTAGAAATAGTTACGTTAATAATGCACTGTAGAGAGTACTGCTATAGTGTATGAATGCAATATAAAATGCTGTTGCCATACCATAACGTGGCATTATGAAACTAAGATACTTCCCATCTGATGAAAATGGACAAAAGGAACTTAATATTTTCATGTGTAAAGAAAAGTGAGAGCTTGCTTTTAAGCAGTATAGTTTTGCTGTTATTTGATGTTTGATTTTTATTTTGAGACAAGGTTTTGCCATATAGCTTAGGCTAGCTTCATTTTACTTCTGCTTCAGCCTCCTGAGTGCTGGCCTACCCATTATGGGTATGATCTGCCACCGTGTCTGCTTAGGCATTACAGATTTAAAACAACTTTAAGACTATGATTTTACTCTATTCAAGTGTCTCCTTATTAGCAAATGAAATTCTGTCGAAAATAACATTTGTATAATTCTTTGTATGTGTTCATGTCTTCACAGCTCCCAGAACAGTGTTTAAAGCTTAAACTATTTCACTTTAAAAATAAATAAACTGAGTGTTCTCTGAAGTTTGCTTCGTTTTCAGATGGTGAACCATGATGCAGCTGCGGTTGATAGGTCTGTGCTTATCACGGTGCGGGGAGATCTTGATTTTGCTGAACAGCTTTGGGGCAAAATGAGCAGCAGTACGTATCCATCATAATTTCAGTGTGCTTTTGTTTGTTTAAGTTTTTTTTTTTATTTTTTTAATTTTATGTGAGTCAGTGTTTGCCTGCATGTATGTCTGTACACCACATGAGATCAGCCTTTTTGTACAGGCCAGAAGGCAGCTTCAGATCCTCTGGAACTAGTTATAGATAGATGATTGTGAGCCACCATGTGTAATTGGACATTTCTCTCCCTCCCATCAGTTCCCAAATAATCATTCAAAGACTGAATATGAATTATAAATGCTCAGCCAATAGCTCAGGCTTATCACTAACTAGCTCTTACAACTTAACCCATTTCTGTTAATCCATGTACTGCCACAAAGCTTGTGGCCTTTACCTCTCCCATTTTGTATGTCTGACTTGTTCTCTGTCTGCCTGGCAACTGCTCTCACTCCTCCCTTCATCCCATCATTCTGAGTTTGACTTTCCTACTTAGCTTTATCCTGTTCTGCTATTGGCCACTTATCTTGTATATTAAACCAATCACAGCAACAAATCTTCACAGTGTACCAAAGAATTTTCCACAGCAACTGTAGAGGCAAAGGCAGGTGAATCTGAGTTTGAGGCCAGAGTGAACTACATAGTGAGTTCCAGGACAGCCAGATATTCACAGGGAACAAAACCAAAACCAAAAAGTTTGTGTCAACACATCCAACTTCTCATACCTTTAAAATATAAAACTTGCTGGGTGGTGGTATCATATACTTTTAATTTCAGCTCTTGGGAAGTAGAGGCAGGTGGATCTCTTTGAATTCCAGGCCAGCCTGATCTACAGTGTGAGTTCCAGGACAGCCAGGGCTGTTATACAGAGAACCCCTGTCTCGAGAACCCCCCAAGATAAAATCAAATGTACAACTTAACTATATTTTCATAAATCAAAATGTACCTGCATAAAATTGTTTAAAAAAATATATTCCTGCCTAATGTTATTTGTCAATCTGAGCTACATCTTTTGTGTTTTCTTTTTCCCTCTCATTTAAAATTTCCCCTTTCACCACTAACGTGCAGGGTTTTTGTTTATTTCATGTACTCTTGATATGTAGAGATGTGGAAATGACTTCTGTGTAACGTGGTTTTCAAGGTGTGATTTCATATCAAGACTTGGTGAAGTGTTTCACATTGATCCTGCAGAGTCTGCAGCGTGGTGACATACAGCCTTGGGTAAGTTGAATCATGGTGTGACTAGAATGTTTTCCTCAGTATCATATACAAACCAAATCAAACCAATAAAAAGACCATGTTTGATAAAACACTGGATCAAACAATTTGAGTTGAACTCCAGTTCTACTACTTTTGTTTTTGTTTTTTTGTGACAGGGTTTCTTTGTGTAGCCCTGGTTGTCCCGGAACTTACTCTGTAGACCAGGCTGGCCTCAAACTCAAAAAGATCTGCCTGCTTCTTTGTTTCAAGTGCTGGGATTAAGGCATGCACCACTACTCCTGGCTAACTCTGCTACTTTCTAGTTGTGTGAACTTGGGCTCTTTTACTTTTCTGTACCTAAGTGCCCTCATCTGCAATGTGAGGGCTGGAATCTACGTGCATCATAGTATCATGTAGGGGTGAATTGATCTAATGCATGCACAGTACTTAGTGCCTCGCATATATAAGTTGCTGATGTTGTTAACTATTCTGGGAATGAATGTTTTCATAGGGTTACAAACTAAGATGCTCTTTTTCAAAGCAGTTTTGATGATTGTGGAAAGCTGTCTGCGGGGCTGCTGTCGGGGCCAGCTGAGCAGCCCCAGGTTCGTGCCTGAGACAGGGAGTGTGAACTAAAGAAAGGAAAGGCAAAGACACAGAATAAAATCAGGGGGGCAGATTCAGTTAATACTTAATTGCCATGAATTTATTTTTCACCACTCTTAAATACCTTCACCAAGAAGGGGAACATCGTAACATGTATATGGAACAAACAGACTTCCTCTTTTCTCTAAGGGTTCAGTAACCACACCTCAGATTCAACTTCTTGTCCCCTGGCCTTGAGGGTCGGTTATTTAGAATGAGACAGCCAAGGCCAAGATCAAACATCCTACTGTGGTGCACGCTTAGGATTTGGGAGGCAGAGGCGGGTGGATCTTTGTGAGTTCAAGGCCAGCCTGGTCTACAGAGTGAGTTCCAGAACAGGCTTCAAAGCTACAGAGAAATCCTGTCTCGAAAAACAAAAAAACCCAAAAAACTAAAAAGGCTAAGTTAAATGTTAGAAATAGCCTATGAGGAACTATTTTAAATAATGTAGCTCCCACTTCATGGTGATAAAAGTAGAATTTTGAATGAAGTACAGAAGTTTAGTAGAGATGCCCAATGGTTCTGAAATCACCAGGAGGAGTCTTAGTTGCTCTGACTTCTCCTTGGTAAAATTGAGCTTACCGATTTTAGACCTTCCTTACTTAGTCACTTTCAATTTTCAACACAAGTGACATAGGAACAACTTTTTCTTTTCTTCTTAGTTTGAAAAATAAAAACAGGGTTTCAAGCTGAGAATGATTGACTTTGAACTTTTGGTACACATGCCTCTGTCTCCTGAGTGCTGGAGTTAACAAACATGTGCCACCACTTCCTGATCCTAAGGTGCTGAGGATGGAACCCAGAGCTTTGGGCATGCTAGGCAAGCAAGCTCTCTAACGCCACAGCTCCAGCCAGGAATGTCATCTTAGAAACTCAGGGGGAACTTGGGGGCTTTTATTAAAACAATTTATAGTGTTAGGAGGCTGAAAATTGTAATTTTGAACTCTAGTCTTCTTTTGCTTATTACATTTATTTATACTTCAGTTTAAGAATTTATAAACTTTTTTCTATTTCTAGCTGCACAGTGGGAGTAACAGTTTACTAAGTAAGCTCATTCATCAGTCTTACCATGGAGCCATGGACAGCATCCCTCTCTCTGGAACTACTCCACTCCAAATGCTTTTGGAAATTGGTTTGGACAAATTAAAGAAAGATTATATCAGTTTTTTCGTCAGTGAGTCCTTTTTTCCAACTTGAAAATCTGTCAGTTGCCACTCATAAATTATCTTAGATTTTTACTTTCCTAGTCATTGAAGGTCTGACTTTGCCCATTGGCTGTGAGACAAGCATTTCCCACTTGATATATATAATTGGTTTTTTGCTTTTAGCTATGAGGTTTTTGTTTGTTTTGTTGTTGTTGTTGTTTAGTTTTTTAATGTGGTGTGGTAGGGCATTGGTGCATGTGGAGGTGGGAAGACACCTTGCTGAAGTCAGTTCTTCCTTCTCCCATGTGGATCCCAGGATCTAACTCAGATTGTAAGGTTTGGTGGCAGGCACCTTTACCACTTTTACCTGCTGAGCCATCTTCTCCCTAGTTAAAAGGTGTTTTTTGTTTTTTTTTTTTTTTTTCCACTAGTTAACACTTGATATTAGGGGCAAGCTATGGTCAGTTTTAGGATAAGTATTAATGTGTATTTATGATATAATTTTTAAAATTTTATTGGAAAAGTCCTAAAGTTTATTTGCATATATGTTTTTCTTGATAGGTCAAGAACTTGCATCTTTGAATCATTTGGTGAGTTTCTTTCTCTTATGTAGTCATTCTGTACCCAGTTGTTAAGTGTCTGTTGTTCGCCAGCCTCTGTTCTAGGTCTTTGGAAGCATCAGTAAGCCAACTGATGCCAGTTACTACTATTTTTTAAAGTAAATTAAAAAGTAGCTCATTCCATGTCATTCCTTTTCTCTTTGTATTTCTGCAACTGAAAATGTAGTTTTATTTTGTTGAAGTCAATGTTCTACTGAAACTCTTATCTAGAATGGTTAGGGAAGCCATAAGTCTCTATGGAGGAGTATTTATTTTATATCCTTTTGACTTATTTGTATTACATTTTAAGGATTATTTGTTAAAGAAGTTATGACATTCCAGCTGGACACATGCCTTTAATCTCAGCACTGTGGAGGCAGAGTCAGGCAGATCTCTGAGTTCCTGGCCAGCCTGGTCTACAGAGTGAGTTCCAGGACAGCAAGGACTACACAGAGAAACCCTATCTCAAAAAACCAAAAAGAAAAAGTTATGGCATTCTTTAGTGCATTGGCTCAGGACCAATTTCAGGTCTTGTAGGTTGCTCTTAGCATTTATCATGCGGCCCTCCCCACAGCATGACAGTTTATTCTTTCAGGGTGAGAGTGAGGTAAAAGAACATCTCCTGTGCCTCTCAGTCTTAAAAAGTTCAGGCTGAGCAGGCTTTTATAAAGACCAGGTGATAATCTCCCTTTGATTAACAAATAATTAGCGACCTAGTTATTTATGGCAATAAAACCACATCATGTTTAGATGTTCTAGGCTTGCTCAAGGAGAAGGAATTGGACAAAGTGTACACTTCAAGGAACTAGTCTTGAAGGCTATTGTCAAAATATGCTTATCACTTCCACTGTGGGTTATTAGGTTGGGTCTCACAAATTGGCCTGGAAAGATGAACAGTTTATGGTACTGCTTAGCTTGCCAAGTTTCTTCTCCAAAAGCTGTGCTGGTGTACCAGTAATATGTGGTAGGAGAAGGTTTTAAACACTTGCTTAGTTTCTTGAACTTCTGTTCACTGGGTGTACAGAGATTTAGAGTGTTTTTTTCAGATTATTAAGTCCTTCCCGCCATCTCCAGGAATGAGTGGTGTTGGCTGCTCACTTGTGCCTCCCTAGTGAACCAACCCTGGGATTAGCTCGTATGGGAGACTGTGTACCATTGTTTGCCTGTGGCATTGTTAGTAAAGACCTGAGTTTGTTTGTTTCATTGGTTTTGGTTTTTTGGGACAGGGTTTTTCTGTGTAACAGCTCTTTTATCCTAGAACTTGCTTTGTAGACCAGGCTAGCCTCAGAATTTAGAGCCTATCACTGCTCATCGTCAAGACCTGAATTTAAAGGGTAGTCGTGAAAGGTGGTGAATTTTGTGACTTTGTCTTTTTCCCAACTGTGGTATCAAGCATTCAGATTTAAAGGTAGAGGGAATGCCATTTTTTCCCAGAGGTTCTTTTTAGTCTTTGCCTCCTTGTTCTCTTTATACTTCTTTCTTTCCAGGAATACTTCACTTCTCCATCAGTATCTACACAGGAGCAGGTTTATCGTGTTCAGAAACTCCACCACATTCTAGAAATACTAGTCATCTGCATGCTTTTCATTAAACCTCAGCACGAGCTTCTTTTTTCCTTAACACAGTAAGTATTTTTTTTTTTTTTTTTTACTTTGAGGTGTGGTCTTATTTATAGCCAAGGATGGCCTCAAACTCAATGTAATTCTCCTGCCTCAGTTTCCCAAATGCTGGTATTAGAGGTATTAAGCTGGAATGCTTAATAAGTAAACAATAGTAAGTATTGCTCTATTGTTTACTTATTAAGAGCTACCTCTTCTAAATATCTTCTTCTAAAAAGTACAGTTAAAAGTATGCATTGAGCTGGAGAAATGGTTCTGCAGTTAAAAGCACTGCCTGCTCTTGCAGAGGACCTGGTTCTTCCCAGAACCCACATGGAAGCTCACAAGCCATCTCTAGCTCAAGTTCTAGGGGCATCTGACACCCTCTTCTGGCCTCTTAGGCTCCTGCATGCATGTGGTGTGGTACACATATATACCATACACTCAGGTGCACACATATACATAAGATATGTTTGTTTTTAGTGCTAGTTAGACTAGAACCTATTTGTCTTGTCTTTAATGTGGCTTTAAGTCAATGTTATATGGTGGAAAGGTTTTGGATTGAAAAATAATCAGAATAGACCTTTCCTCACCTGGCTTCTTTAGGAAGCTTCCTTTCAATGAATCATGTTTCTTCTGCAAAAAGGATATACTAACTCATTTGACTGCTGAAAGATTAAATGGTACCTGATACATAATAGGCACTTAGTAAATACTGTTGTATTTGAATTTTAAAAAGCACGTTCTATACTCCTGTAAATCTAGATCAGATTGCCAACTGTCTGTGATGACTGAAGGAGATCCTCAAACTTGTCAGTAATATGGCTGTAATTAGAGTTCATCAGTTTGACTTCAGACAGTTTAGAACAACACTTGCATGTGAAAGTGCTGGGTCTTATTGGGAACTGAAGAATCATTATCTTCCGTGTGTGTGTGTGTGTGTGTGTGTGTGTGTGTGTGTGTGTGTGTGTGTGTGTGTGTATGTGTATGTGTGTGTGATTTAAAATAGATTTTTATTTGCAAAATTAAAAAACTAGTCAGAGTTGGGGTCCTTTTTCATTCTTCTTGTCCCTGCTTTTTCTTTGCCAAGTTCTGGTCATTGTGTCAGCCACTCTTTCTGGAGCTGCTTCAGCATGTCTACAGTGAAGAGTCCTTGCTGCACCAGCCTGGAAGCAAGGGGCAGGTCCTTGGCACTGGGGCTGAGTGGCTCTGCGGCTTTACCTCCTGTACTTTTGGTGCCACGTGTCTTTTTTGCTGTGCTCTTCAAGGTTCCTGACAAATGTGACTGGTTCTCTAATGATAAACTCTCTAGACTCAAAGGCTTGTGCGACTCAGAAATTTTAATCAGTTTTTTTCCAAATATTTTTGAAGAATATGTATACGAGAATTATGTGCTGTGTATACTCCTGTGCGTAGGCACAGAGGCCAGAAAAGGGCTTCCCATGTTCTTCTCTGTCTTTCTCCATGTATTCCCTTATTTAAAAAGAAAAAAACTTTGGCTGGGAATGATGAATGATGATACATACTCTTAATCCCAGAATTTAGGGGGAGAGGCAACTGATCTCTGAGTTCTAAGTTCTACATAGGCAAGTTCAAGTCCAGGCAGGGCTACAGAGTGAGACCCTGTTTCAAAAAATTTTTTTTAAGTATTTAGTGTACATACACATGCGTGCCAAGACTTATATGTGGCAGTTATAAGGACAATTTACAGGACTCTGTTTTCTCCTACCATGTCAATCTTGCACAGTGAGTTCAGATTGTCAGGATTTGCAGCAAATCCAGTAAATCATCTCACTGGCCCCCACTGCTCGTTTCTTCTTTCCAAGACAAGATCTCCCTGGAACCTGAGGCTTGTGTTTTCTCAGATGGGCTGGAAGCCTGCAAGCTGCAACAATCCTCCTCCCTCTGCCTTTCCAGCTGAGTTGGCACTGCAGACATGTATGGGATGTCCAACTTGTTACATGGGTTCTGGGATCTGAACTCTGGTCCTCATGATTCCATAGCAAACCCTTTTAACTGTTAAGCCATCTCTCCAAATTGCATTTTCCAAATTTAGAATTTGCATGAGTTGTGAAGGTGTAAAGAGAAAAGTTTGAAATCATTATTGCTTATCCAATCTAAAAGGTTTTTTTCCCGGTAAGCATCAATACTATAGATATGCTGGAGATGTAGCACAGTGGCAGAACATTTGCCTGGTATGTATGAGGCCCTGGGTATATTCCATAGCCCTAGAAAAGGCCTGGGGGTGGGGTGGGAGGGTGAGTGGGGAGATAAATGAAAAAAAAAAGAAGTCAGTAGTATAAATGAATTAATTTTTTTATTCCCTGGATTCTGGACAGGAGAAATGGTTCGTCAGATAAAGACATTTGGTGCCAAGTCTGGGGACCTAGGTTCAGTCCCTGAAACCCACATAGGAGGAGGAGAAAACCAACACCTCAGAGTTCTCAGTTCTCTCTACATGTATACTTTGAGATGGTAGCACCCTCACGTGTTCACAAACACACACATACATAATAAACAAATTTCTTTAAACTTCCAAGATTCTAAAAGCCATGAAGTCTATATTTGTCTGTCCTGTATTAATTTTTCTCTTTCAGATACTTCCTTCTTCCTACTTAAGTGTGTATTTATGCTCAGCTTGGAATTGAATGTAGAGCATTGCCTATGAAAAGCATGCTCTCTCCCCCTTAGCTACATTCTTAGCTTAATGTGTTTTTATATAAGAAATCTATCTACTATTATTTTTTTTTTTCAAAGTAATGGATTTCCTTGGACAGAAAGAAAAATAATTTAAGTTTTGTTGGCAGGGCTAGATGGGGGAGTGTTTTACTATTATGGCTCTGAATTCATTCCTTCTGATGATTTCCTGGTTAGTGGTACTCAGTAAAATGTTTTTCTTGACTAGAGAGCCTTTATTTTTTCTGATGGCTCTTATTCCTAAAAGAGATTGTTTTATCTTTTTAGATCCTGCATAAAATATTACAAACAAAATCCTCTGGATGAGCAACACATTTTTCAGTTGCCAGTCAGACCAACTGCTGTAAAGAATTTGTATCACAGGTGAGAAAGTTAATAACTACATTGTACCTTATGGGCACATTAATAAAAGACCCAGAGACAGATATTGGGGTTCAAGCTTTAAGCTGAAAATCAGAAAAGCAAAGAAGCTGGGCACTAGATCTTACTCTACCTCAAACCGAAGGGGGATCCTGGCTGCACCAAACTTCAGACTGCTGCCTTTCATCAGCGTGGCTGGAGAATCCTGAGACTTCAATGTCTTCCTGTCCTCAATGTGGCTGGAGAATGAATGCCTGCTCTGAGACCCTGTTTCTGTCTTAAATACCTCTTGTGAATCCTGGGATTAAAGGCGGATGATCCCAAGTACTGAGATCACCTTTGTGTGAGCTGTTTCTCTTTAGGACTGGATGTATTTTTTGTAGCTCATAGTCTTGAAGTAACTGAGATCCATCTACCTCTGCCTCCCAAGGGGTGGGATTAAAGTTGTGTACCACCACCTCCTGGCTTCTACAGCTTGTGGCTGACTTTGCTTTCTGAATCCTCAAGCAAACTTTAACAAATAATAAATAATATATCACCATAGTACCCATTTTCCATTGAATTTCATGACTCAGTATGGCTTAACCTCTGAACTTCAGTCTTTGTCCCACTCTTTGACTTTCCCTATTTCTTCTCCCAGATTTTGTGTCGGTTAAGACTTTTGAGCTTCTAGTCTTTGTTCTGTCCTGTCACAAAATCAAGGGAGAAATAATAACCAGGAAGAAGTGACAGACTAAGAGAAAGTAATGGAGATAAATAGGAACAGCAAGGTCAAGGTTATGAATGTGAGAGTGGTAGAATTGTGGCCATTCTCTCTGACATACTGCAAATACTTATGTCTCTGGCATTTCCTTCCTCGTGTCTGCTTCTTGAAACTTCTGCCATACTGAAAGTATATCCAGTGATTGGTTGATTTTGAGATGAGGTCTTACTATGTTGCCTAGGTTGACCTTAAACTTTGTTGTCCTGCTTCAGCTTCCAAAGTATTGGGATTATAGTTATGTACCCATGTGTCTAGTTACTAATGGCCTCTTAATTTGCCAAATTAAATGAACATGTTGTAGAATGTTTTTGGCTAGTTGTGGTGGCACATGCTTTTAATTCTAGCAAGTACCTCTCATGAGTTTCAAGGCCAGCCTGGTCTACACAGCAGATAGAACTATAATTGAGATGCTGCCTCAAAAAGGGGGGAAAAAAAAATACGGGTAGGCAAGATAACTTACTTGGTAAAAGTCACTAAGCCTTAGTCACTGAGTTCAGCTCTTGGAACTCACATAGTTAAAAGAGACTGACTTCCACAAGCTGTGCTTTGACCTACACATGTATACTCTGGCATGCTTACCATGGTATATACACACCCATACATGGACATCTCAGGCATCACTAAATAAATAAGTAAATTTTTAGAAGGGAATGGGTTTGTGAGATGCCTCAACTGGTAAGAAAATCACTGCACAATTCTTGATCTGAGTTTTTTTTGCTCTTCAGGACTTGTGTAAAAAGCCATTGTAGTAGCTTGCATTATGTTATTCCAACCATGGGAGACAGAGACAGGAAAAACCACTGGGACCCCCAGTTCTCATCAGTGTACAGCAGAAGTAATGAGAACTCTGCCTCAAAACCAGAAAACTGACTCTCTAAAAATTGTCCTCTGACCTTCACATGTCCTGTGGAACATTCCTGCCTGCACTCACACACTAAATAAATCTTTAAAAGTTTAAAAAAAATATGCATTTATATATCTATTTGTTTATTTATTGTTTTTTTTTTTGAGATAGTTTGTCTGAATGGCCCTGGTTGTCCTAGAACTTGCCTTGCAGATCAGGCCAGCCTTGAACTCACAGAGATTCACTTGCCTGTCCCTGCTTACTGAATGATGGGGTTAAAGGGTGTGCCACTATCATCCTGCTAAAATATATATACTTATTATCATATGTGTACATGTATGCACTCTGGTGAACAGACTCAGGTTGTCAGCCATTCATCATCTGTCAGAAAGCACCTTTACCCACTGAGCCATCTTGATGGCCTCAAATGAATATTAAGTTTTATTGTACTTATTTATTTGTATATGTGTATGTAGATGGGTGCTTGTAAGCTATGCACACATGTGGAAGTCAGAGGACAGCTCACAGGCGTCAGTCAGTTCTCCCCTTCTATCATTAAACTCAAGTTATCAGGCCTGTACTTGCAAACCATCTCTCCTGCCATGATAATCTTCTTTAAATTTAATTAATTGATTTTTTTTAAAATTCTATATTCTTTTTAGCACTTTTTCCTTTCCTTGTATTTTATTTTTCAAATGACCATCATTAATCACCTAATGCCCAAACCAGAAACCTAGGCCTCACCCTCTGTTCACTCTTATTCCTCACTTTGTCTTTTAAATTGTTACCAATCCTAACTACCCCACACACATACACACTGTTATTTCTTTCTTTGAGGGAAAATAGGGAAATAGAAGTAGGATCTCACTGGCCTTAAATTTGTGATTCTCCTGCCTTAGACTCTCATGTGCTAGAATTACTGAGTATGACAGCACACTTGACTTACACATCTCTTTTTATATATATGTAAAATATACAATTTATTTTCTATATGTTCATTGGTGTTTTGCCTACATGTATAATGGTGTGAGAGTGTCAGAGCCCATGGAACTAGAATTACAGAGAGTTGTGAGCTGCCATGTGGGTGTTGGGAATTGAACCCCGGGTACTCTGAAAGGATCAGCTATCTGGAAGGATGGTTCTTAGCTGCTGAGCCATCTCGTCAGCCTCAGTTTATTACTGCTTTCTTTTTTAACATTTTTTACTATTTTTTTTTTATATTCCAATCCTAGTTCCCCTCCCTCCTCTTCTCCTGCTCACCCCTCTTCCCCCACCCCCCTCCACCCTACATCCCTGTGTTCCTTGGAGAGGGTAAAGCCTCCTATAGAAAGTCTACTAAGTCTGTCCCGCCATCTAGTTGAGGCAGGACCAAGGCAGCTCTCTAGCCCCACACCCCCTGTGTCTAGGCTGAGCAAGGTATCTCTCCATATAGAATGGGCTCTGCTAAGTCAGTTTGTGCGTTAGTGTTAGGTCTTGGACCCACTTCCAGTGGCCTCGATATTGTCCCAGTCACATCATTGTTACCTACAATAAGGGAGTCTAGTTCGATCTTATGCTGGTTCCCCATTTGTCAGACCTGAGTCAGTGATCTCTCACTTGGGTCAGCTGATTCTGTGGGTTTCCTCATCATGGTATTGACTCCTTTGTTCACTTCAGTTGTGCTCCAGGAGCTTGGCCCTTTGGTTAGTTGTGGATTTCTGCATCTGTTTCCATCTGTTTCTGGTATTGCTGCTTTTTTAAAGATTTGTTTTTTTACTGGGCAGTGGTGGTACACACCTTTAGTCCCAGTGCTGGAGAGGCAGAGTAAGGCATTTCTCTGAGTTCGAGGCCAGCCTGGTCTACAAATGGAGTTCCAGGATGGCTAGGGATACATAGAAAAACCCTGTCTTGAAAAAACAAAACAACATCAAAAGGGTTTTTTTGAAATGTGTGTATGTTCTTTCTCTCGTCTCTTGACTTTACTTGTCCATGGCAGGCATTGTGACCTATTTATATCTCCCTCAGTGCTTATCACACAAGGATCTCACTAAGTGGCTAGAGGGAAGGAAGGTATTAGCTTTTGGTCACTGGCAATTTATTTAGTTTTTAATTTCTTTTGATGTTTTTTCTTCAGTGAGAAGCCACAGAAGTGGAGAGTGGAAATAAGCAGTAGTCAGAAGAAGGTGAAAACAGTGTGGCAGCTGAGTGACAGCTCTCCTATAGATCATTCCAGTTTCCACAAGCCAGGTAAAGATGGCCTGTAGTAAATTAAATCTTTCTGAGAGGAATCACTGTTACAGGTCTTTTCCTGAACTGTAGGTAGAAAACATACTTTAAAGGGAAATCTGACTTTGTGCCAGTGTAAGAATAATAATCTCTAACAAGGTCTTTTTCTTATTGTCCTGGATAAAAGAGCCTTTACTGAATAAGGGCAAGAAGTAATGACAAGTGGAGAGGTCAGTGATGTAGTGTAAATGTTAGCTCACACTTTTATACTGTAACCATGGTGATAGTCTTTCCCAAGTGCATTTTCTGCAGCTAGAATAAGGGTTGCCATTTCTGGTATTCTGTCAAAGATTGCCCATGTCAGTCTCTTAGCTCTTTGTGTAGTTAGCTGGCCCTCTAGCTTCTTCAGTAAGCACCTTTGAAGCTCTTCTTTTCATTCAAACTGATTTCTCTCTACACAGAGAGAAAAAACAAAAACAAAAGGGAATTTAAGAGAGAAGGGAATTTTAAGAAAGAGAGATAGGGTTTGTTTATACTGGCTCATGGGTCAAGGTTCAGTATATCATGGTGGAGAAGTCAAGGCACCAGGAGCTTAAAGCAAGCAGCCAGTTTCATTGCATTCATACTCAAAAAGCATGGTGCTGCTTAATTCCCTTTGTCCATTTACACAGTCTAGAATCCCTGCCCAAGGAATGGTCCTGTTCATAATTAAGATGGATCTTCCTACATCACTTAACATAATCAAGATAATCCCTCACAGACATGCCCAGATACCTATCTACCAAGTGAGTCTAGATTCTATCCATTTGAAATTAACACTAACACTAAACAACACAACTCTACCCCCACCTGCCACTGTCTCCATATAATTTCCACGCCCCTCCTAGCACTTATTTATAACTTTTAGTTTTCCTATTACTATGATAAAATATTCTAGCCATGAGGTGTGGTACATACCTTTAATCCCAGCCCTTAGGAGCCAGAGGCAGTCGGATCCCTGAGTTCCAGGCCAGTCTAGTCTACAGAGCTAGTTCCAGGACAGCTAAGGCTACACAGTCTCAAAAAAAACAAAACAAACAAGCAAACAAAACTCTGACAAAAGCAACTCTAGGTCAGGGGCTTTATTTTATTTCACAGTTCAAGGTACAGCCCATCATGGTAAAGAGGTGAAGACAGCAGGAGCTTGAAGGCTGTTGATATAAATTCTGTAGTCAGAAGAAGAAAGCAATACATGCCTGTATGCTGGTGTGAGTTCACTTTCTCCAATTTAAAGCAGTCCAGAATGTCTGGTCCAGAAAATGGTTCTGTCCATAGTAGGCAAGTCTCGCACTTCAGGTAACACTATCAAGATAATCCCAACCTGCCTATTTCCCAGGTGATTCTAGATTCTGTCAAGTTGACAGTTAATACTATCACACACAGATAGACAAAATGCAAATCCCAGGGCTTGGGAGGCAGAGGCAGTCAAATCTCTGAGTATACAGCCTGGTCTACAGAGTGAGTTCCAGAACAGCCAGAGCTACACAGAGAAACCCTGTTTTGAAAAAACAAAAGACTAAATCCTAACAATTTCTTCTCTGAAATTATGTTATAGCAGGATTCAGAACAGACACTTGTTGAGCCTTAAGTGGTGACACAGAAATTAATTTAATTGGTTCTCCAGGAAGGGTAGTGCTTCCTTCCTTTTTATTTTCAGCTCTGTTTTTAAATGTTAGGCTGTTTAATCATGGTTTAAAAGGAGGGTATGCTATATAAACAGTTGCCCTAGCTAATTTGCCAAACAGATCCTTAGATTCTTTCCAGGTGGAAGACAGGTGCCATCCACGCTCCTTCGCATCTGCTATGTTGTAGTAAAGTCAGCATTGTACATGGCATGAAGCAGTTCTTACTAACCTCATTGTCTTTCTGGTTACAGATTTTTCTGAATTGACCCTGAATGATAGTCTGGAAGAAAGAGCTGCTTTCATTAACAAGGTTACCTGCAGCCAGGTGCACTTCAAGTAACATGTGCTAAAGGTCCCTGTCCGGTATCTATGTTCTTCTCTCAAATATGTTGTAATGTGTTGAGTACCTTGTGTCTTAGCTGTTTTTACATTGTCAATATTGAATCTAAACATCAGGAATACAGTTGTTCGCCTGTCATCTCCTGAATGGCCTACCAGGTTATTACTTGACTTTGCAAATCTCTAATTCCTTTGTTCCTTTTGTTGGTCACTTACTATCCCTGTTTAACTCTTAAATTAAAGAAATGAAAATGATTTTTGAGTGGTAATATCTTTGCATTTTAAATCTGAAGAGTTCAATTTCAAAATCATTGCTAAAAGAGGAAAAACAAACAAACCCCAACTTGATGGGAGATATCATTCTGTAAATATGTTTCTGCTCTTAACAAAATGGCGCCCAACGTGGATACTAAGAACTTCCACTTAAAACTTAACAAAACCTTAAAAAAGGTTTTAAAAAACAAAAGAACAGTGACAAGCAAGGTTTCTTAGTAACACCATTTTTCTCAGTTGGGCTCTGTTTTGCTAGAGAGAAACAGAAATTTGTGTGGCTCCTTTAAGAGAAGTTTCCTGACTCATCAGAAGTGGCATGGCATAAAGCCACACTGCTTTTTAAGCACTGCTGACAATTCATTGGTGTGTATGAGCAGTTGGAGTAACTGGGTGTGATGGCACACACCTTTAATTCCAGCACTCAGGAGGTAGAGGCAAGAGAATCTCTGATTTCAAAGTAAACCTGGTGTACAGAGTGAATTCCAGGGCAACCAAAGTTACACAGAGAAACCCTGTCTCAAAAAATGAAAAAATAAAAAAAGTAGAAGAAATAGAATAATAAAAAAGCCACGTAAAGATGGAAACCACAAATAGATTCTGGATACTGTATGCTATTATATTGTCTTTAAATTGTTTCACTGCTGAGGAAATAGCAACAACTTTTAAAACAAATGCTGCTGGATTAATCCAATTTATATATTTTAAAAATTCTTTGACTTCCAAATTTAAGTCTAAGGACAGATTATCAGGGAAAAGGATTTCTGGTTTTGTTTCCACAGAAAATGAAAAGCTGTGGATTCCTTCCAGACTAACATGGTTTGATCAAGCAAGACCACCTGAAGCAGTGTTGCAGGTGATCCAACATTCAAAACAGCTGGGACAAGGCAGCCTTGCAACCACTACAGCCAGGATGTCTGCCTCTTGTTAGGATCCCCATGACAGCGCCCCCTATCAGCAGGAAGCAGTTTGGAAAGAATAACACCCAAATTCCCAAATATTGTTTATAAATGTTTGTTTTCATTTATATGGTGTTGGTTATAAATGGTTAATGACCACAACCAATCTCTTTAAAGGTAAAAAGAGGATTATGGTATAGATATGAATATTTTGCTTTGGAATGGATTTTCATTTATTGCTATAATTTAAGATCAATTTTGTGATATGTATATTTCTCCTCTTGTTTAGGTATTGTGTTTATATAGCTCATTTAAAAATGTAATGTATAAGCCGGGTGTTGGTGAAGCTCGCCTTTAATCCCAGCACTCGGGAGGCAGAGGCAGGCAGACCTCTGTGAGTTCAAGACCAGCTTGGTCCACAAGAGCTAGTTCCAGGACAGCCTCCAAAACCACAAAGAAACCCTGTCTCGAAAAACCAAAAAAAAAAAAAAAAAAAAAAAAAATGTCATGTATAATTTAGTAGATAGTTAACTATAGTGGTCAAAACTTACAGTTAGGTGAGTTAGGTTTTCTAAATATATAGAGACGTATTTGAGATGGATGGACATTCTTCAAACCTTTCAAAGACCTACAGAATATGGCATTTAAAATGATTTAGGGTTTTTCTTGACAGTGAGACATAAATGCTCCTGGCAATACCACCTGCACCAGAAAGGAAGATGGACATCGAAGAAACTCGTTATGGAGTTTGCTTTCAATATGGCAAGACTAGCCATTTGAGCAAGATACTGCTCTTGTCTGGACTGTTTGACTTTATGCTGTATAAACTGGACATGCAGGACCCACAGGAAAGTGACTGCTGATACAAGATGGACATTGCTACAGGGTTCCTGCTTCATGGAAGAGTCTGCCAGACAGTCCACAAGACACAGAGAAAAATGACTGACAAACTGCCAATACAGGAGGAAAGTTTAAGTTTCCTGCTATGCTGAGGAGTCTGCCAAACACATTATAGCCTATGGGCTGAAGATGGAAGATTACAAAAGAACTTCGGGTGACTGACCAGGCAGTGAGTTGTCTCTGTCAATTTTAGAGTTTATATACTGTCCTTCTGTGGTCTTTGGTGGAGTTGAAGACAGATAGTTATGGCTATAGTTTTCCTTAGTTAGGGTTAAAGATAAGTTACATATAAGACTTTAGACTCACAAAGATAGGATAGATGATGAAATATTTTCTTTAAATCTTGCTAAATGTTAATGAACTAAATATTGTTAACTATGGTTCTTATTTGATAACTGTTTTGTTATATATTTTGCTATATTAAGGTTAGAGCCCTTTTTATTTTAGACAGGAAAGAGGAGATGAAGGGAGATGCCATTCTGTAAATATGTTTCTCTTATTGGTTAATGAATAAAGCATTGTTGGCCAATAGGAAAGCAAGATGGCAGGACTAGGAGACAAGGAGGTTTCGGGAAGAGGTAGGAGGAGATTGAACATGGAGGAAGGAGAGAGCAGAACTCCACACCCTCTCTCCAGTAAGCCAAGACTACATGGAAACATTTAGATTAATAGAAATGGGTTAAGACAGAGCTAGACAATAAGAAACGCTAGTAACAGGTCAACAGCATTATATCTAATACAGTGTCTCTGTCATTTGGGGCTGGCGCGGCTCTGGGACCAGGAGGGCGGGAAACTACTCATAACACCAACTGGACATAGAAAACAGTTTTTTTTTTTTTTTTTTTTTTAAAATAAACAGTTTTCTTCAGCTGGACATTGGCGGTTCACACCTTTAATCTTGGCAGAGGCAGGCAGGTCTTAGTGAGCTTGAGGCCAGCCTGGCCTACAAAGCAAATTCCAGGACAGACTTGACTCTTACACAGAGAAACCCTGTCTCAAAAAAACAGTTTTCATCAGCTCAATTTCATTGAGCCCCAAATGTAAGCACCTTTTTAAAATTTTTACTCTGATTTTTTAGATCAGAAAGTAAGCACCAGGCTCCGGTGGGGCACACCTTTAATGTCAGACCTTGGCAGGCAGAGGTAGGAGGAGCTCTGGGTTCAAGGCCAGCCTGGGCTACACAGACAAGCCCTGTCTGAGATAAAATCTCACTGTATAGTCCTAGGTGGCCTGGAATTCATGGACTAGAACATGCTGGCCTGGAAAATACAGAGATTCTGGGATTAAAGGTGTATACTACCTTGCCCATCAGACTATTTTTTAGTTGTTGTTTCAGAAACAAAAATAACTAGAACTAAATAATGAGTAAAATGTCTGACATTATCATTTCTTCTTAAGCTACATTTGTCCTGTAATAAATGAAAATTAATTTTTATCACAGTTAAAAATAAAGTAAACTTTAAGAGAGGGTTTCTCTATGTAGTCCTGGCTGTTCTGGAGCTCATTGTGTAGACCAGGCTGGCCTCAAACTCACAGAGATCTGCCTGCCTCTGTCTCCTTAGTGCTGGTATTAGAGGTAGTACCGTACCTGGCTTTTATTTACATTAAAGATGTGGGGGATTTGGGGGGCTTTGTTCCCTAGCAGATGTTTGGTTTATCATCACAGTTTGTTATTTCTCGGTGTCTCTTTGCTGGCTGCAGCAGTGACTAGCATGCTTGGTCTCCCTCAGGACACACATGTTCCCATTCACTTGCTGCCCAACTGTTTAGCTAACAGTCTGCAGCTTGAAAGAATTTTAGATTGACAATATCCATCAGATATGGCCGCGCTCAGGTGACTGTCATTTGTACATTATAGTAATCTTTCCAGATAAATGAAAAATAGTCAAGTTACAAAACTATACATTATATTTCTAATTTTGAAAAATGAAATATGTACATGATACTCTGACTTCAGGAAAGTTGAGATTACAGGTCACTTTCATTTTATTTATGCTTATTTTTATTTTTTGATTCTTAAATCCCAACACAAACCAAAAAAGGTGGGGAGAGAAAGAGGTAATTTTCAGAGCCTAAAATATAGACGTCATAATAAATTTTGAAGCAGAAAAGAAGCGTGATCCTGAAGATTCTCTGAAAGGTGAAGGTGGAGATGAGATCCCATCTCAGCCATGGCTCCTGAGAAGGAGTGTTAGCAGCAGGACAGCAATGAGGATGGAGAGGACACAGACTGTGGGTACCACAATCTCCGAAGCCACATGCATGTGCCTAAGCAAGGGCTCTGAAATGGACAGAGAACATTCCACCAGAAGTGAACTTTGTTTTTCAGCAAAAACTGAAGAAGAGGTAGCACTGTAAGGTTTTGTTTGTTTGTTTGGTTGGTTGGTTGGTTGGTTTTCTGAGCTCACTCTTTAGACCAGACAGGCCTCAAACTCATAGCTCATCTGCTTCTGCCTCCCAAGAATGTTTCCGAAAGGTATGCTCCATCACCGCCCAGTTTAACACTGTGGTATCTAATTGTAATTGTACATTTGTTGTATAAGGAAACCAAACCAGTAAATCAAACATTTTGAAGTGGTTGGTTGTCTGAGTACAAAGTGTTGAGGCAGAGCATTCAGTTGTCATGACATAGCCTTGGGGAATTCCTACCATCACACAAAACTTATGTGACAATTAAAAATGTCACAGAAAATCTGGGAATGCCTAAATTTGCTTCTTTTACCGGAACTTCGGTAAGCCTAAGTATCGATAATATTTATACTGGCATTAACTTTAAAATATTAGCATCCATATTCCCTGGATTCTCTAGATTTTCACTGAGGAACTTGTAAAAGAACCCTTTGGGCTGGGTGTGGTGGTGCATACCTTTTATTCTGCAATGGAGAGGCAGAATCCAGCCTGGTCTACAGAGGAATTTGAGGACAGCAAGGGCTACAAAAAGATACCCTGCCTCAAAAGAAA